CTCTCAGGCCTTCGCACGGGAGCCAAATATGAGATTCGGATTGCTGCATTCACTGTGGGAGGAATTGGACCGGAATCACACAATGAGATTTTTACATGTAAGAACTGCAGTGTACATCGTAGTCGAGATTCTATGTCAGATTTTATTGAAATCGATTCAGCGTTTACACTTGGTGCCTGGGCACGGTGCTGGAGTACGGAACTCGCACAGCACTTAAATGTGGACACAACCTTTTTCAAGAACTCCAAGCCAAAATTTGGGCACGGTGTAATTTCCCAAGTACAAGCTCGAAACCTTGTAATCGAGTACTTAAGTGGGCACCATGAACCCGGCTGAGCGCATTTCGTGTTAGTTTCCAGAAAATCTACTGCTTTGTATACCTATAACTTACTACTACACTCACGTTTTAAAATGGCTGCCGACATTGAGTGCTTAGTTGGGCAAATGTGTTGCATAGGGTGCTTTCCATTCAGGCCTAAATTCCAGGAATTTTGGTTAGAAATCAAATGGAACGGACCATTTTAGTCCGGTCTGACTGACTCTTTGGGACCGCCTTTGAAGGTGGTCCACTTTGACCGGTCCTGTCATTTCGGTTGGTCAGACCGAACTGTCCCTTTCCTTTTGACGAGATTGTTGTCCCCAGTACCGCTCTTTTGCATCCTGCTTACAAGAACAAAAACCAAACGCGCAGTGGTCTGTGTAACCGGAATGTAGACAGTAGTGTCCATTTTCTCGTTGAATTTTCAAATTTAAAACCGGAATTTTTGTTGAATGGAAAGCACCCATAGTCACTTACCTGGTGCTCAAGGCGTTAACGCAATACCACTTTGTGCTGGTACCACGTGTTAAAATTCCCCATAAGTGACTAGATTTTTTATTTCATTGTTCGAGTTAAACTTACAGAAGGGCGAAAATGAACACAATTAATTTACCTGCTTCCATTGTATGTGTCTTCAGCGCAGTGGTCATGAGCTCGGATCCCGATGTTAGCCCTTTTTCTTTCATCATTTTTTTTTCGGTTAATTTGGAATCGCTTAAATCGCTATTTAACTGCGACGATCGTATCTTTATCATTATTTTTTAATTTCCGCAAATCATCTTTATTTCATGTTTTTTTTTATTATTATTGTTGTTGCTTTGATCTAAAGCGTGTGAAGCACAGACAACATTGACTGACAATAATGGCACCATACAAAGCCCAGGCTATCCTTGTGAATATGGTGGATTCCAATATTGTAACTGGGCAATCAGACCAAGTGGACCTGCATCATCAATCTTCATTGAATTCCATCAAATGAGTTTATCCGTTGATCATCATCACCAGTTCTTCTACTGCAGGTAGGCTGATCAGTGGCTTTGTTTGTTTGTTTCTTTTTCAGATCTCATTCGCGAATGAATTAAAAAATATGTTGTAAAGAGAAAATGCCGTTTATAGTGTTGACCGCATCTCATGCGGAGTCTCTGCTTAAAAGGTTTTTTTTTTTTTTTTAAAGAAAACTATAACACCTTCGCTCGAAAAAGTCTCTTGCGAGAGGTGATCCTTTCACAGAGGTTCAAACCAGGGAAAATTTTGTTGTTTCAAAAAGGTGGTCTATGGGCCGGGAGGCGGTGGACGCGCATGGTGTTCAGTGATTGTCAATCTTTGTCTTTTGGCAGTATTACTGTATTATTACTTTGCGTACTAATTTAAGCTCCATTTTCCTTGTCCGATTTAGATTGGAAGACCATATTGCATTCTCATCTGCAGTAAACAAAAATGCCAGCTTTTTGTGTGACGAAGAGATAAATTACGTTCTTGTATCAGGTAGCCAGGCTGATCTTACTTTTTCAGCGATGAAGCAAAGACGTTCCCCTGGTTTTAAAGCCACGTATGAAATTCTGCAGAATAATTTCACAGGTAATAGTTACAACAACCTTGCGTAAAGCAATGGCTTCCGACAGGTTACGGAACGATTAGTCAACATTTTAGTATGGGGGATTGCCATATCCCATATTTCGTTGGGATAACGTAAAAAGTACTTAGGATAGTGAAATTCGGGAAAAGGCAAGAATCTCTTGGTAATTTTGTAAAAAAAAAATGCGGAATTACCTTTTTTTTGCCTCAATCGGAATTAAAATTGCGGAAAAAATTGAGAGTAGCAAATGTGAAATAAGATGAATGTACAAAAAAAAAAAAAGAAAAAGAATAAGAAACATTGAAAATTTTGAAATACAAAAGACAAAGACAAAAAACATAATGTAAATAACAATGATAATGAGGACGAGGAGACTACATAGAATAACCCCTGGAGCCAGATGTCCGAGCGGTATTCAAGCCCGGGACATCCCTCAAGGGACTCGCGAGGGAGTGTAAGTCCAATGCGTTGACCACTTGACCACGCAGCCGCCCTGTGGTCTAACATTTTAAAAACATCCTGATATTGATAAGAGCCCGGCAGAGACATTTCCAAACAGAGTTGAACCAAGTCTGCCACCGGTTTTTTTTCGATAGTGTAACTCGCACAGGTGTCTAATGGCGTTTCTTTTCATCTCATTTCAACATTAGCTGTAACTGAGCTCTCTTCGTGGAATGTATCACTGCGATCAGTGGAATCTCACAAAGCTGAAGTAGAATGGACAGAATTTCCAGTGCACGGAGTCAATATTGCTCAATTTGTTCTAATGATTAAAGAGCTCAATAAAGACATATCATGGCTTAGACTGGTCGATCAACATAAAAGAGATGATCATATCGAGTCTTTGATACCAACCCGTGTGTACATAGTTCAAGTTCAAGCGTTCAACGGCTCTCTCAGTTATGGTCCGTCCTACTCAAGTAACACGATCAACATCACAACGCCGCCTGGCGGTAAGTTACAAGACAAAGACAAAGTAAAAAATAAATAAATCAATAAATAAATAAATAACCAATGAAGAGATTAAAAAATATGATTCCATTTTTCCCTTCTTTGCCCCTACACGTTGGTGCTTAAAAATGGGAGCTCACGCAAAGACTTTTATGAGCGACGCACGTTAACCGGAAGTGAGGCATTTTCCCTTTTGATATGCCTTCCAATTTGTACTGCCAAGTGTCTGTACTATAGACACTATTTCCCAGAAACCATTGCCCACGAATGCAAAACGTCTACTTCCGGTTGACGTGCGTCGCTAAAAATTTCTTTGCTTTATATTTAAAAGCTTCCTATCAAGACCAATTAACGCGCCTCTTACCACAGGCGAACCATTCGGACTGTTCGAGTCATCGTGATGTCACGTGCGACATGTTGTCTCATACATTTGCTGTATTTCGTAACGCCCGCTCTAGGTTTGATTGAAAGGATGGAGAGAAATGCTTCATAAAACACACAAGTTGCAACTTTTGATCCCAAATGTGAACATAAGGTAAGAAAGATGAATAAAGATTATTTATCATTGGGGAGCAAGGGTGACGCAGTGATGAGACCACTCGCCTCCCACCAATGTGGCCCGAGTTCGAATCCTGACGTCGACGCCATATGTGGGTTGAGTTTGTTGTGGGTACTCTCCCTTGCTCCGAGAGGTTTTTCTCCGGGTACTCCGGTTTTCCCCTCTCCTTAAAAACCAACACTTTCAAATTCCAATTCGATCTGGAACGCACGGACACGTTTCAACGAGTTGTTATGAACACCTTAGTGATCCGTGGGTAAACAAATTACAATTTGCAATTTTTAGTTGGGGGTGTTAGTTTCAAGGTACTCAAAACACCACAAAAACGCAGAAGACGACATTAAAGACATATGGAAAGTTATCTTTATTCATTTTTCTTACCTTATATCAACATTTGGTATCAAAACGTACAAACTTCTGTGCTTTATGAAGCATTTCTTCCGATCACTTCAATCAAGTCGAGAGCGGGCGTTACAAATTACAGCAAATGTATGAGATCACATGTCGGGCGTGACATCACGAAGCCTCGAAAAGCTCGGATAGTCCGCCTCTGCTCTTACAAGCTGAAAAAGCAAGGCGTCTATTGCGTTCCGAGAATCATCTGCCCTAGTGTCTCAATTTGCTTCGGTTTTCGGGCTTTCAGGTTTTTCCAAAAAGAATCATGTCTTCCCTTTTGGCATTGTGCCATTTTTACTGGGTGACTCAAAATTATATCCCTCGTCTTCCAATTCAATAATAGAGACCTTTAGATTCGAAGACGAGTACGACTACGAGCAAGAGATTTTCTCAATAGAAATATTAAGCATCACGTTTACGGAAAACGTAAGATTCAAGATAAGTAATGAGGAGATAAAAACAGCTAAAAACAGTTCTAATGGATAGAATTGGCGTGAATCTACCGATTTTCGTGTAGTTATAATGAACAGTAAACGTCAAGTAGATGGAAAACTTGGTCACGTGGTACAAATTCACGTTTGCCGTTTGCCGTAAACGCGATGCTTAATCTCTCTTTTACTTAGTAGTGCTCGCACGTGAACCAGCGTTATTTTGGTGGAAAAACGTGATAGCCGTCGTCATTCTACTGCGAGTTTTTGCGAGAATGTCGTAGCGGCGGAAACAAGTTATCAAATGTTAGAAGTCTGATCATTTTACGTTCGAGAGAGGTCTTAACCTCCTCCAATAAAGATAACAGTGCTAAGTTCAGTTTTCTGAAGAAAAAAGAAGTTGGCAAAACACTCTAAATCAAATCCCGTACTGGTAGTCGTTCTCGTCCTCGAATCTTAAGATCTCTAATGTCATAAGCATAGTGCTTTTTTTCTTCATTTCTCTGTTCTTACTTGCTTCCTTTAGCGCCTAGTATGCCTCCTATTTTTCATCTGCACAATCTACAATCTGGCAATGGTATCAAAGTTGAATGAGAACCGATTCCACCAGAACGTCAACACGGTGTGCTCAATGGATATAACGTGTACTATAAGGAACAACATCATCACGAAGAGACAAAACTGAACGTCAGTTCTTCTGTAACACAAGTGACTCTCTTTGATTTGCATCCATTAGAGGAGTACGAGATTGCAGTCGAGGCCTATACATCCATGGTAGGACCCCGTTCGGAATGGCAGACCATTGTAGTTGGTAAGTGGAATAGACCAATTTCAAGATTTTACAATAATTTATATTAACCAACCGCCGCAAACCCCGGCCGGACCAACACTCAAGGTCTTTAAATAACGGAGAAGAAAATGCTGTCTTTGTAATGACATCTGCAAATGGTTAGACTTTCTAGTCTCCTCGGATAAGGACGAAAAACCGTAGGTCCCGTCTCACAGCACTCTCACTGATCTGTTCTTGTGGGACGTAAAAGAACCCACACCACTGTTCGAAAAGAGTAGGCGCGTAGACCCAGGTGCGGCCAACCTTTACTGGTTGTGGGATTGGGTAGGGATGGCACCTTGCATGGGACCTATGAGTCCCGTTCGTACCCATTCCCTTTGGGCAGGCCCGTGTCCAGAAAAGCTGGTAAAACATATATTCCGCGCGCTGATTGGTTGATAGCTACGGTCGATGAGACTCGGACCATTCGCAATTTGACATTAATGTATCTTGTTTACCCTCCCTCCCTGCCCCTTAATTAGATTTTGCCTGTTCTTGTCTTTGATTCGCATTCTTTTCGGAAGACTGTATATAATACCCAGGAGAAATTGGGAATAATGGTTAGGTGAAATTTGGGAGTTTAAACAAGCTACATTACGGTCTATTTGAAAATGATTAATGGAAATAAGATATAGTTTCCGCAGTTCTTTTCCTCTTTCATTTGCCCGCTATTTTCTGTGAAACTTCACAGAATATTGAAGTTAAAAAGCCACTAGTATCTAAAACCAAACAAAGTGACAACATCTTATCGAGCACGGTGACACAAATTTGTTTTTTCTTCCTCTCACGCTCGATTTTCTTAAGGGGCTTTCATAAAAATGGGTGCCAATGTTATTAAACAACCAATTAGGCAGGGTCTGTCCTATTTTCGACCATTGAAATGACGTCAAACTGTCATTCAAAACTTTGAGTTCCACATGAGTTCTGAATATTTGACGTCATCTGTAAGGTCGAAAATAAGAATGGAATATTAATGTCGATTTGGTGAGTCATCTATCAAATCTTAGCAACTATGGTAATATTAGTTTATTATGGCTGCGTGATTCCGCGAGCGGACCCGGCTACCCGGATAACCTGAGCTAAGTAACCGGCATTGGAGAGTTTGCGACTCATTTTGATACTTTCTTATTTTTAGGCTGTGGAGGGACATTTAACCAGTCACACGGAATGTTTAACCTTAGTAAATCCGACTGGGATAGACGAGAATGTACCTGGAAAATTTACAATGCTGGACTGGACAATGCAGTTCTCCTTATGTCACTAGATGTATTAAGGCTTCGTAACTGCGGACACAAGTAAGACAGCTTTCGGTTTTGTTTACTACTTATGTTAAAACCAAAATTGCTTATAAAGTACAGTCGAACCTCCACTAGCGGCCACTTCTCTACAAAGGCCACTTTGTTTGACGCGAAGTCCATACACTGACTCTTGATTAAACGTGTCTAAAATCCCACACTCTTCTTTCCCTAAAGTGGCCGTTGTGGAGAGGTTCAACTTTACGTTCAAAACAAATCTCAGGGGAACCCAACGAGAATATAGTTCAAAACCACTTAAACATAGCATTGTTAAACGTATGTTAGTTTTTAAACGGTAGATATGGGCATATTTTTATCCCCTTAAAATTTTTCATCTGTTCGGATTTCCTAGCTGAAAGTCTAGTGATCCGAAAATTATAGGGATCAAAACTTACCTTTTCGAAACTTCCAGCCAGAAAAATGGCTGTCGAAAATCTAGGCGACCTTTGTAGGGTAAAAATCTGTTAAAAATGGGAAATTATACCATTTTTTAAATGTTCGAAAATCCTAGGAGAGGCAGGCAAGCAAGAAATTTTACACAAAATGTTCCGAAAATTCTAGATCTCAAATAGTCTTCGGAACAGATATTTTCCGAAAATTCACGTCGGGTGCCCCTGAAATCTCGGCTATCTCAATTTTCATATCGTTGAAAAGAAAGCTGCGGTTGCTCTTGACATCCTAGGTAGAACTTACTGACCTTACCTTGTCATTCGTTGTTTTAAGTAATACTTATCTTTCCGATACGATATTCGATGTGTTTGTTCCAGTTCTGTGGCGTAGCCGTTCATATTATACTGGACCGCTTTTCATGTGGCACGAAAAGCTACCTGGGATAGTAGAGACATAATTCTAATGCCTCACTGTTTACTTTAAGCGACGAATATGCTAAAATTGTCAAGGATGGAGTGGACGCCGTAGCCTACCGAGGCTGCGATCCTCTACGCCTGGATATGATAACAGTACCATTTGGGGACTCCAGCTACCTTACAGGAAAAGTTCGAATACAAAATATGGAAAGCCGCGTTAAGACTTCTTTTGTTATCGTTAAGGGAGGCCTTGATTCAGGTACGTTGACAACTAACTATGAATTTGATAACTTTATTCCCTGTGTAGTGTGATACTCCCTTACACGCCTGGACGGGGAGACTCCATGCACCCGAAAGGCAGTACCTTTTTCCGGCGTTAAGTATATAAAATGGTAACAATTGCACTAGAACATTAAAGGGTAGGAAATTTTTCGTGTAGGTTTTTATAATAGGTCTTTAACTGAAATATTTCGAGCAGACGCATGCACCCATTTAATAAACTCTGCACAAAATGATAAGAAAATGAGTGTTAGTATATATGTGAAAGGTGACCCATTTTTTAATAAAATGTACACGAAAGGAGTACCTTTCCTGTCCAAAAATGGCCCACAAGGGTCACTGCATAAAAAATGCAAACTGCATATTAAACTCTGCACCCTAAAGATACAAATAAAAAATGTTTCTGCAAATAAAAAAAGGACGTTTCTGCAAATAAAAAAAGATGTTGCTGCAAGTAAAAAAGATGTTGCCCCAAATAAAAAAAAGATGTTGCTGCAAATAAAAAGTCTCTCCTGCAGATAAAAAAACAGTTGTTGTACCTGATTTACACATTGGTACCCAGTCTTACTCTTTTCAAGCCTCGTGTAAAAACACTCGACGGTGGGTGCCATCTGTTCTCGTTGTGGGAGGGAAGCCAGCAAAGAATCAAAGTATTGCTCAGCTTGTGGCTTTTCCCTACAACAGTCGAGTATAGCAGTCGAGTATACCACCTAGAATACCAGAGTTCTGCAATCTAACGAAAATTCCCAAGCCAACCATTACAGGGAGACCAATTATCTCCGGCTGCGATGGTCCAACAGAAAGAATTTACTCTTTTGTTGATACATTACTGCAACCAATATCAAAAATACAGAAATCATACCTTAAAGATACCACCGACTTTATAAATTTTATTGAAAACGCAAAGGGAAAAAACGGACATTTCTTGTTTCAATGGACGTCACAAGTCTTTACACAAATATACCACAGAACGAGGGCCTTGAAATTGTCTGTAAAGAGTATGAAAACTTCTACAAAGACAACCCTCCTGTTTCTACACATTACCTGCGGGAAATGCTTAGACTAATCCTCAAAGAAAAATCTTTCCAGTTCAATGGGAAACAGTACCTACAAACCCTTGTTACTGCAATGGGCACATCAACAACAATTCTACACAGAACCGTTTTTAAACCTACAGTTTGGTAACGCTACATTGACGATATCTTTTCCCTATGGGACATAAGTAAACCAGACATCGAAGGCTTCATCGAACAAGGAAACTTACATCACCCAACTATCAAATTCACGGCCGAAATATCTGACACTCAGACTGTGTTTTTAGACACGGTTGTATACAAAGGCACAAGATTCAAGGAAAAATCTATCCTTGATGTAACGACACATGTTAAAAAAACGGAAACCTTCCAGTACACACATTTCACCTCTTGTCACCCGTCGAGTGTTAAAAAAGGATTTGTCAAAGGAGAAGCCTTGAGAATCCAACGAACAAACTCCTCAAAAACTACGTTTGAAGAAAATATTTCAGATTTCAAGAAACGCTTGATTGACAGAGGCTACCCACAAACTATGATAGAAAACCTTCTATCAGATATAAAGTTCACAGAGAGAGAGAGAGTCTGCACTCCTGAAACACAACAACAGAGAGCAAAAAGAAATATTGCCTTTCGTGACACAGTACCAGCCCTCAGTGTCTACTTTAAAAGAAGTTTTAATGAAAAAATGGAATCTTATACAAAACCAACCGTTACTTCGCCAAATTTTTAAAGAACAACCTATCATTTCCTACAAGAAAGGAAAATCTCTAAAGGACATGCTCGTTAGAGCTAAAATATAAAAGGTTAACACAAGGTTTCACGCCGGTATAGATGTGCGGCCTGTCACCCCTTGCATTTTTTCACGTTCCCTCCGAAGACTATAAGCGCGAAGAGAACGCTTTAAAGTACGTAAACTGATTGTAATGTTATGGTATACACTTAAATTCTAGAATATCGTCATTTTGATACCCTTGATGAAAACAACCCTCGATTATTTGCTTTTCCGATCTGTCGTCCGCCATTCTACCCAACACGAGAGGAAGACTGTGTACTAGTTTCCATGTCGCTTGTTTGTAGCAACTTTTTTATTTGCAGCAACACCTTTTTTTTATTTGCAGCAACATTTTTTTTTTTTACTTGCAGCAACTTTTTTATTTCCAGCCACATCTTTTTCTTATTTGCAGCAACATTTTTTTTTTTTTTCCAGCAACATTGTTTATTTGCATAGGGTGCAGTGTTTAATTGCAGTTGACCTTTTTTATGTACTGACCCTTGTGGGCCACCGTAAAAAGGGTAAGGGATTGGACTGCGGGGCAGGGTCTCCTTGAATGGAACGTTATTGAGTAGCCCCCCGTCCACGGTATTATTTAAACACGCTAAATAATTTTTTTGCAGCATATAATGTTAAAAAAATGGAAGACAGAAGTATTATACCCAACTATCATTAAATGATAACTAACAAATAGCTGCTATTCAAGGATGCTGTGTAGAACATATATTTAACTCATTCAAAACGTTGTTACGCAGATTTGAAATCATTGTAAGAGTCTGCAGATCATAGGTCGTGGGATAGTCTCTTCCAAATCTCAGCTGGTCTTCAACTTAAAAGAAACTTGCTTTTAAATAATTGGTATGGGGCTGTGGAAGAGCTAGCCAATTTATTTTCCGCATCCCTAGATCAATAAGAAGTCGCCAGTTTCCTCTATTTCCTAGGGATGAATTAAATGTCTAACTTGCAGCAACCAAACTATTGTATTTTTGCGGCTGACTTTTGCTGTTTTATGATATGCGCCTGTGTATTTAATGTTTTAGTGTTCTGCTCTCATTGCAGCTCTTGATCCTACTACACCTTGGAGTTTAACAGGTTGGTCAAGTGGAAAAAGTCTAGTTGTAGATTGGAGCTCCTTCCCGAATGATTTGGACGTTGCCTTCTTCATAGCATCTCTGAACCAAACGGAAATTAATGAAGATAATAATAACCACCACCACCACCACGACGACGAACCTAATAACCCAATACGCATGCTCAGAGTTTTCAACAAGTCGAGGACAGAGGTCAATGTATCGGGTATTCCTGCTGCTACAGAGTTCGAATTTGTTGTCTTTCTCGTTACCAATACGGACGATGTCTATAAAAGTCAAAGACTGACTATAACATCGGCTGAGGGTGGTAAGTTGTTTCTCTTAGTGAAATTATATTGTACTGATGATAAATTCTGAGGGCATTTTGGTTGGTCGTTGTATGAACCCTCTTCACTGTGAATAGGGAATGTTCGGGAACATTCATCAATTCATTAACTGCGCAAAAACAGTCTGGCCAAGCCTCGCTCACAGTAAATGTTTTCCTTGTTTCCCCAAGGAGCGTGGGCAATAAGATTTTTTTTTTGCCAATTGAACAAGACGCTTTGGGAGCGTATATCTGGGCGTATATATAGGGACGTGTGACTAGTGCAGTAGCGTTGTATATTTTAGGGGTTGGTTGAGATGTGTGAAGTGGAAGGCGTGGAATTATATTGGACGTGGATTGGTAAGATAATGGCTGTAGTTTGTTCATCAGTAAACTGGTTTGTCGTAGAATTTAATATGAAGTAACAAGTAGGTATTTTTTGGAAGGTAAAAGTGATTTTAGGTGTTGTCATGAGGTAGTTGTGGGAGTGCTAATTTGGTTATGAAGGGATAGTGTAGTTACGGTCTGTTAAAATGCATATGAAGTGGTGCTTGTGAAAGATCTTATCAATTGAATAGACGAAAACATCCAGTACATGTACTCATTTTAAACGTTTTAGGCTTTCTGTCCAGGATTGTTTTTCCCTTTATTTTGGATAATATTTGTAAAGAGGGAACGTGGATAAGGGAAAGTTCCTTTAATATAGAGAAGGGGGTGTGACGATGTTGAGGGGGCTAGCTGAAGTTTTGTGTGCGTGTGTTCGGGGGGCTTTGAAAAATCGGTGAGGTCAAGGGGGGCGGGGGTCGGAGGGCGTAAAATCTGGCTCTAGAACTAAGGCCCTGATTACATGAGTAATCAGACAGCCCGGCTCATGTGATCAGGTCCTTACTATGATTTGTATTGTCACGCAGTTTGCACGTGAAACCTTTGCAATTTGCTGCTTTCGTGGTTCGTGTATGAAAAAATACGAATTAATCTAATTAACCAAGGGTTTTAAAAATATTTGTCACGCACGCAGTTTGCACGAGAAGATGTCGGACTCTGTCCCTTTTAAGGTTCGAACTAGCCTCCCACGCAGGCGTTTTTAAGGGAGCTCGTTTTTCATCCCTCCCCACAAACGCCTGCTCAACCGAAAACAACATTCCTTTCCCATTGTTTTATTTGCGTGGTGAGTGACCTATCAACAGTTGTGCAATAAAGTGTTGACAGGCTAAAAGCGACATAAAACGTGACCCTAGAGTTACCATTTTCTTTCTTTTCTTTCCTTCGCTAAGGTTATGCAGTGTATGGAGTCTTCTAAAATTTGACTAAATCTTATTTTTGCCGCTCTGAATCTAACATTTATTAGAGGTCAGAAAGCTTTCCCAGTGTTTCATGCAGATCGAGTAATTATCCGATTACCTTGCGGTCAAGGTCAACTTTCCAGAATCTGGAAAGTACAATGTGATTGGCTAAGCATGGGAAAGGAATGTTGTCTTCGGTTGAGCAGGCGTTTGTGGGGAGGGATGAAAAACGAGCTCCCCTAAAAACGCCTGCGTGGGAGGCTAGGTTCGAACGAGGAAGAATGCAACTTGTTTACGAGGTCATTTTGCTTAATAAGATTTTAAGAAATCACCTCCTTTCCGAAAATCTGCAATGAAATTATGCGTCATTCAATGTTACCCTTATTTATCTCATGCACGATCACGAAATTTTGCCTGACATCTTCTGTGGCTTTTGACAACTGAGGGCAAAAATGTTGTCAAACTTCTGAAAAATCGCCCGGCTTCTAAAGCCTTCTAGGTAACATAAAAAATACCGTAAGCTTAATATTTACCTATTTATCTTTTCCGAGCGAAAAATCATGCTCTGAGAGGACATGTCCTTACCAGCAATGAAAACGGGGGTCTTTTTTTGCATGAGTATGCGCACTAAGACTTGATAAAGAGCACGCGTCCAGTGACAGTGACCCTTGGTGCACAGTTATAGGAACCAAATTCTTCAAAAAAGACCCCTGTTGGCAATGAATAGTCTGTACAATGAAAAAGGGCAATGACCAGTACCTATGGTGCTAAAGGAAAACATTCACGCCGTGTGCTGCGAAGACAATTATTTTCCAAAGGGTAAATTTAAATTATATAATACTTTGTTTCACTCAGTGTACCTTGTTTTTTCAATACGTTTGTTTTCTATTGCTATTTTTTTTTGCCGTGCGTTATCTGTGGGACGTATGTAACGAGGATAAATGCAGTGTCGTGACACATCGGCAGACATTCGCGTCGCTTGCTAATTGGCTTGTTTAATTCGCTTGCGTACGTTCACACGTATTGCCTGCCTATTGCAACTTTGAATCAAAACAAGCTTTCTCGATTACTCTATTTGGGCGACGCCCAAATAATAAAAGGGTTAGTTTTACAAAACTTCAATGTTGTGTCGGTGCGGGATGTAATGAAAGAAGAAAATAGTTCTTTCACCTGACAAACTCTTCCCCCAAAAAATTAAATTGCTAATGTTTCGAGCTCTTTCAGGCCTTGGTTAGATCTAATCTGCTCGGCTCGCTCTGACAGGAGCAGGACACAGACCATAAAAGTCAGCTTTAATGATAATGATAATGACAATGCTAACGCTGATGCTAATAATGATGATGATGATGATCATGGTGATAACAATAATGACAATGACAATGATGATGATGATAACAATGATAATAGCAATGATAATAACAATGATAATGACAATTACAATAACAATGACGTTGATAATGATAATGATTAGCCCCCATACAGTACGGGTCTTGCTCTTGGTACTTTACACAAGGTCGTGAATTGAACAGCTTAGCTAATATTCGGGGAGGGGGGCGGGGCGGGGCGGGAATTAAGACTCTTTTACGGTGGATAATTTACTTTATCTATTCAGCCTATACCTTTTCTTTGTGTGATTATTAGTACCTAGTGAGGCGCCACATGTGCACGACTGGAGAACGGACTTTAATTCACGCACCCTTTCCTTCCGATTGGAACCCATCGATGAGAGATATCGGGGAGGAAAGCTTCTTGGGTACAGGATAAACCATCATCCGTTGGGAAAACCACAAGATACCGAATCCCAGGACGTGGGTGATCATCCGGAGCAGGTTACCCTTAGTAATCTAATCCCTGGGGTAACGTATGTTGTCTCCGTTGCTGGATACACTAGTGCAGGCGAAGGGAAAGCTAAATTGGTATCCGTAGTCTGTAAGTTATCTGTATTTTCTTAGTACAATGACTAGAAATTTCCATTCATAAGTAGGTTGAGTATGATCGTTCGGGTGAACGTAGTCCTGAATAGGACTGTTGATATTGTCAGTGACTGACGTTTCGACAACCTGTGCGGTAGTCATCTTCAAAGTGAAAGTGAGTTCACTCGGACGATCATACTCAATGTATTTATGAAATGACTCCTGAGTTGAAACATTTCACAGTTTTCCGAAATTACAATTCCCGCTCATGAAGCAAATGGTGATAAAAAGAAACTTGTTGCAATGTTGAAAAACTTTTCTATTGAATAGTTACATAGGATTCTGCTCCTAAAGACAATTTTTTTTTTTTATCGGCACTTGGTTTATGTTTCAAATCCCTATGGTAATGTAGTGGCCTAAAATTCACTCATTTCCACCCATTTTGCGGAAAATTCAGCTTTATCGCTGGAAATGTCCCCACAGTTTTCACCTCCATTATAATGTTGCCTTGTGAGGCTTAGTAGCAGACACTCCGTAGTTAGGAATTTAGTCCGATGTTTGGAGAGCAAAATGGCCTTAATGCCAGTCTCTTTTATTGCACGCAGCGGTATTCATTTCATTGTAATATTTCTCTCGCATTATGAAAAATACACGATGAAAGTTTACTTTATATGCCTAGGTTTAAATTAGCATTACTACACCTGAAGTCCATGTACGATACAAGCGTAAAGCGTATGGATATTTAATGGGTCGATAGGCACAACGTCAATGCTACATTGGATGGCGCAGAATGATAGAAGTTGTTGCTGCATATTTTGACGTCAAGTAAATGAAAAATAAATCTAATATAGCCTGAAAAGAGGGTTTCGCGACGCTTACTTGCGTTTGCTCTAGTGAATGCATTTCACCAGTTTACAGGTGGATTTCGTCAGTACAATGTTTGCTCTTATGCTTGCTTCGCTTACCGGCATTCGCCTTCCTCCCTTTTAGTATGTGGTGGCGAAATTAATGCACAGATGGGAAATATTTCAAGTCCTGGCTATCCCAATACTCCATATTTCCCTGAAGATCAACATGACGATAACATTCGCTGTCACTGGAAACTAAGACCTCCAAGCGGATCGTATATGATGCTGACGTTGGAGAACTTCTTTCTTGGTCGCAAAGAATGGGATCACTGCAGGTTGGTTAATAGCTACAATCATGGACAAATGTCTTGGGAAAATTTGCATTTGTGATATGCGGATTTTTTACATGCCCAACCTCTCCTCTACGGCTCCTCTACCCTCGGACGTACAAGTTAGGGGGGGTGGGGTAGGTTTCCACCCGCCTCTGAGGTTTTTTTTATTTTCTTCCTAGACGGTAAAACATCAGCGCCTGACGTTTTCAGTAACTGTTCGTTTATCCCTCGCTCATTTTGAGACAAGTTTAGTGATAGTCAGTCACTATGGTTACGAGATATGACATCATAAGTAGCAAGTGGTCAAGCCATTTTTGACTTAAAATGAATGTTTTTTCAACTTTTTTCAACAATAAAAGTACAACTTGTGGATGAAATGATACAAAGTGCTTATTTATGTGTTATTTTGCATATCAAGCACAACAAATTACCATTTATCTCGATTGTAACCTGATTTCTAATTCTTGGTAAAATCCAAGATGGCGACCATTGTTGGCAACGTTAAAGGCCTCCAGCAGCGCCACCACCCATAAAATATACCTGATCTTGTTAAGAAGATCAGAGGCTTTCCACCTAAGACAAAATCGTTTCGAAATACTGCAACATATTAAAAACTCTGGGGAGGAGTTCCATCATCTCCCCCCCCCCCCCGTACCACGGTGGGGGGGGTATGAAATATGCGTGTACGTCCGAGGGTTAACAATTCGACAACAATTTTCCATGATCTGTACTCGTATCGACCACAGAAATCACATAAAAATGTTCAAAACTCAAGTGGAACCACGAGCCGCAGGCGAGTGTTTTCACTTCAACGTTTTGAACATTTTGATGTCAGTTCTATGGTCGATGTGAGTACAGGCCATGTTAAAGTGCTTTTTGCAATAACAATGAAACAAAAATGACATTGACAGTGTTCACGTCTATTTCCCTTAAAGCTTCTCAGAAAATCACGGGCGTGAGAAAGAGAAAAGCAAATTGCGCCACCATCACATAATTTCTATGGTCTGTGTACTTTTATCGAACATAGCTCTCGACCAATCAGCGGGGGAGAAATCGCTCGGTTGTTGTTAAAATGAGTTTTGAAGAGAATTGAAGATGTTTGAAGCTTCATGTCCCGTTTTTTGGCAGTGTCACAAGTTGTTGAGAACCTACTTGGTCATTATTGTAGAACTCTAATAAGTCGAACTTTGAAGGGACGCGAAAAAAGTTCGAGTTTTACCGATTGTATGACATTCAACGCTATGGGGTTCGGGTTACGGCGACAAATTTCAGTGAAATTTTTATCAAGGCAAACGAAATTTAGTTCCAGTTAGCGGGAATTTGAGTTATCCGAGTTCGAGTAGTCCGAGTAAGAGTGACCAAAAAGTATGGTCAAATACAATGGTAATGTAAAACTGCTGTAAAACCCTACCAAGGGGCCCGACCCTCTGAATTTAGTAATTCAGAGCGACGAATACGCAAATAATTTCCATTGCCTATTTTTCAGTGGACAACTTAGAGTACACTTCCCTGATAGAGACTGGGACAAAAGCAAGAGTATAGACATTTGTGGGCAGGAAACCAACTATTCGATTCTTGTAAAGAACAGGGATGTTGATGTACAAGCGTGGGGATTCAATTACCATCGACACGACGAGGAGGTTAGAAGAAATAATGGCACTAAGTTTCTTCTCCGCTTCAAAGCCTTGTCTGAAGAAGAAACAACAGGTAACGTTTGGATTTGTGTTTTTACTTGACTTCTCTTTGACAAAGAGCCAAAGAGCACATGTTTTGAACAAACTAGTCGTTTTTTCGTGACACAATTGCGTCTATAACTTCAGATGTTTGCAATCACTAAACTACAGCGCATCATGGCGTGGCTGTTGTGATATGACCAAGTTTGTAGTTTGCTCACTAGTAGAAAAACAAATGCAGAAAACATCACGGTCAACTTGTCTGCACAAAATGACAGACATGTTCAGAAAACAACAACAACAACAAAGTAAGGTGTGTCGTGTAACGGAAAAAATTCAAATACCCTGTATTCTTTCATCAAAATCTCAGTCTACAACTAAAATGCAGCCTTCAGTAGTATGTTTGAAATAGAAATGACAATATTAACCAGTGGAGAGATTGGTACGTCAGTATACCTCACCTTCTAGCTAAATTTCATTTCATTTTAATAAAATGAAATTAAGATAATTCTGAGCGAAGCGAGGTCCATAAATTTGTCGAGCGTTGATCTCACATCGAAGCAGAAACTCGAGTTGCGAATATTTCGATAGATCTCTTAGGTTTGCATGGTTGACGTCATCCAGTTGTGACGTCAGGGTGCATTTTAGGGTTGCCAGGCAACGCTACTTCAAGTGCGAATGCAATTGCTGTGGGGCAATATCATGTTTTTTACAAAGTGCGTTTCACTTCGGCTTTTTACCATCAAAACCTTGCTTTTCCCGGAAATCTGCACTCGCTTTGAATTCATGTTACACCGAGGCAAACCAACAATGAATTGGTTCTTTCCGCACCGATCGATGGGACCGATTCATCATATCAAAGACTGGTGTCAGCTCCGTGCATCCATCCCCCGTTGAACCCGAGAGTGAATTAAGAGCGAAATAATTCAAAATGGCTTTGAAAGACGCCTTGAAGTTAATTTTCCTCAAATTTATCTTCGAATTCATGATAAATTTAGCTCCGCCAACTTCAAATAGCGTTCATGGCGGAGAAAAATGCCTTAAGTATAATAATTTTAAGGTAATTTCCTTGTTTTGCATTGCATACCCTCTACTGCCCTCTACTTTATGAGGGCCACAAGTTTATTAGCCTTTGGCTATTAGGTGCTACCCTCTTTAAATAAAGGCTTTACTTACTTACTTACTTACTCACTCACTCACTCACTCACTCACTCACTCACTTACTTACTTACTCACTTACTCACTCACTCACTTACTCACTTACTCACTCACTCACTCACTCACTCACTCACTCACTCACTCACTCACTCACTCACTCACTCACTCACTCACTTACTTACTTACTTACTTACTTACTTACTTACTTACTGCGCATAACATTGCGACATCCAACATGCCGGCGGTTTTTCCCGCCAGCGCGAAAAGAACAAACAAGGGCTACTTTCGCAGAGCTAAAGCTTTTATTCGCAATAATAGTGCCGCAGATCGGTTGACAGCTTCCTGGTCTCCTATTGAAAAACAAGAAAATGAAACAAATGTACAACGAAGTCTGCAGCGGTTTTTCACTTCTCGGCCATCGAGGTGTGGAATTAAATGTCCTGGCAGAGGCTTTGGATGGGGGCTGTGAAGCCTGTGGGACAGCTCTACGGCTCTCCAACTGCATTAACCAGACAGTGTGTGGCCTAGGATCGCTACTGTACATATGTTGTTCAAACTCTGATTGTGGGGAGACGAATATTTGTCGAACAAATAAGACCCACCGTAGCACCGGAACAATGCGAGTGAAGACCAATCTTTGATGTAAACACGAAGTTTGCCGCTGAATTCACATTTTGCTGTGTATAGGAACCAAACATGAAAACATATGAAGAATAGGAATCGATCAACAGTCTTTTCTTCAAGTTTCTTTGTCAAGCATTGTTGCTCAGAAGCAAAAAAATCGAACCCTAGCTCACTGGAACACAGAACGCCAGCGATACAAAATAGTCCAAAATAAAGATTCATAACTCCAAAATCTCATCAAATCTTGACTTACCTCATTCCATAGTATTTATTGCACTCTATCCAAATATGGATTTCTGTGTTGGCGATATCAAACACATAAAAACAACCGAAAAAAAAGCTTGATCTCGAGTGCTACACGGTAAGCTTTATTTTGAATCTCGTCCCAGTCCCCGCCGCGCAAATTGTCCATCCTGGACAATGCCCACCCTTCACGGCAGTTTGTGAGGAAACAAGCACGGTGACCCCCGATTTTGTTTTTAAGGTAATTGCTAATAACAGTCTAATAAAAAACATATTTGGAGAAGAAAAAACGTTTGATAGTAGAACATGATTTTTTTTAGGTGATTCGACTCTTTTGACGCCCAACCAGTAAAAAATACCCGGGTTTAAGAGCCTGCTGACGCATAAACAAGTACGGTGACCCCATCTTTTTATTGCATTTTTTAATGTTCATATCATGAATGTTGACTATGCCAAGTTTCAAAAACGTTTGAATGTAGAATAATTTCAAGGGAATTACCTTAATGTGACAGTTATACATTCGCTGCGCGGCGCAGTGGTCAAGGGTTGATTTTTACTCATAGTAGATACTCGAAGGGAGCGAGTTCAAATCCCGACAACGCCATTCTTTTAAGCTTTGCACATTTTTTTTCTTTTTAGTTCATTTCTTTTTTTTTATTCTCACTGCTGATCCTTTAAAGCTTCGAGAGGATTCTGCGATAACGTATTTCTAGTTACAGTTATTTTATCCTCTTCTCCCATCAGGACAAGTGTTAGCCGATTGGGCAGTGACTATAACCGATGTTACCAACTCGTCAGCACTCGTGTCATGGCCCGAGCCCCCGAGTAGCTTCCGTGGTGGAGCCACTGTTGATAGGTACCTTATTATTGGCGGAAAAGTTCCGACGGAAATATTTCATCCGACTTGGATATTGGCATCTCAAAGAACTCACCTAGTTAAAGACCTGTCTGCACGAACTAACTATTCTGGTAAAGTTGTTGCCATTCTTAAAAATGGAAAACGTGGCAGCACAGATTGGAAAAGTTTTCAAACTAAGGAAGGAGGTAAGTTGCTAAATATCTCCCAGAAGTTTAATATAATTTATATGCTAATTCAGTTCACTAATGACTTGGTAGTGTGACGTTTTGTTTACTGGACCAATTCAAATAAAAGAGTAGTTTCGGTGGACGAGTGCAATCACCAAATAACGTAATACAAAAGATGGAAAAGACGCTGAACATTACCCAGACCAAAAAATAAAAGCCAACTAACAATAGCTTCCACAACACCAAGAAACACCGAATAAAGGTTAAAATGAGGTCCATAAAGATCTCTTTTACAATGAATAAAGTGAAATAAAATCATTTAATTTACTCCTTCTTAGTCATAACTTTTACCTTTATTGTCTGTTGTCAAGATCTTTTGAATCTTTGGATAAAAAGAACTTGTTGAGAAGTTGTAGGTATGATTATATTTTTCATATATTCACAATCAGTAAAAAAAAAATAATTTTATTCTACCCAGTTTCAGCTAGGAACCCTCGCATTCACAAGCGCGAAGCCATCGACTTCAGCACTCTTTGGATCAGGTGGGAAAAGTTGGAAGAAAGCGCAAGAGGGGGAACTCTTTTGGGATATCGAATCCACGTAGAAGAAAACTACCATGGCGATTATCGACCGATTAACTTGTTTCACAAAGTTGTGACTGTAGGCCCTAATGAATACGAGGTTAAAATAACGGGACTCCCACAGTGGACTGAGTTCCGGGTGTGGGTTACAGCCCACACCGCAGCTGGAGAAGGAATCCAGCAGAACAAAGAATGGATGAGAACAAGTAAGCATTATTTTGAATTCAGTGCTTCAAAAAAAAATCAACACGGACACTGATAAGGAGGCAACGTGACCGAGTGGTTAGAGCGCTGGACTTAAAATTCGCAAGCCCCGAGTTCAAGTCCCGCCCTGACCGCTAGACTGCCCTGACCGTTATTAGGCTGATTTAGCAACAGAACGGGTACGTCAGTTGACGACGGCGCGCGCAGATCAAACAACTGGCTTGACCGATGGCAGAGCGGCAAATTGGGCACCGGAAGTCGTGTTTAGTCTTTTCTGCGCGCTTTCCCGTCGTCAACTGACGTTCCCGTCCTGTTGCTAAATCAGCCTATTATTATCACGTGGTAAAGGCCACCCTGAGAAAACAGCCGACATTTCGCGACGCCGCCACTGATTTCCCCGCGAAATGACGTCTATGAACGAGCGTAGAAATTCCATACTGATGACACGTCACAATCCAGATCTGAGTAATGTTTGTGATTGGTTGAGGCGAATTTCATCCACTCAGAAGCGCTATCCTTACGCGTCATCAATATGGAATTCCTGCGTTTGTTTCTCTGGAGATATTTCGCAGGAAAACTAGTGGCGGCGGCGCAATATGTCGACTGTTTTCTCAGGCTACGTGACGTACGGCTTAATTTACTGTATTTTTATTATAATTTTTTTTTTCATTTTCACGGACTGTTTGCTCGTAAATTACCCATAGCGGTGTACTGATTTCTCCTCGCGATCTATGGCTCCAGTGACATTTACTTTTGGGAATAAAAAGCGGGAAAAACACTTTTTTTCGAAACAACGGACCTCGAATTCAGTTGATGGTTGCGCATAGTTTTTCCGAGAATAAGATACTGATGTGTTTAAGGGTTTGGTTTTTTAAGCTACACCGCTGCGTTGAATATAAGATTCATTATTTTACACTAATTAAAATAATAATAATAACTCTGAAGGTAACACCTTAGCAAAATTCACAGAGAAGTTGTCCAAGAACAAAGATTTGGGATTTGAAGCCAATAAGATGTGGGATATGACAACGGAAATAATACCAGTGGTCGTTTGAGCCCTAGGCCTAACTAAGAAGGGACTAGACAAGGTCACTAGTAGAATCCCGGGTAACGTTAGCACCAATGAAATCCAGAAAATCACAGTGCCTGGAACAGCCCACATACTAATAACTTTCCCAATAACTCCCCAGGTCCACTGCTCGGACCCGGCTACAATGGATGGAAAGCAGGAAAAAAGTGACGAGGACATCATCATCATAGGGAACTTAAGCACCAGACGTTCTTGATTCACGAACGGCATGGCTGGCGGCGCAGAACTGGATCGGTGACGTGGTTTACGCGCCAAATGCAAATCATTAAGCAAACAAACGTGAAACCATCACGAACGCCGACAGAATAATTCAAAAATGTCTTTCAAAGATTTGCGTGAAGTTTTGTTTCTTTCTTACGAAGAAAACATGATTTTAGACGAATAATTTCTACTTTTGTATGACGAATACTCTTCGAAGAACCAAGAATTTGAACCTCTGGTTTCAACCTGAGAACTCGAGTTTTGAAGTTCGTGACCGCAACTCAAGAACGTCTTGACATGCGCAGTGGCTGTCATGCTGCAAAAATACTTCCGGTTGGGGTCCGAAGAACGTCTGGCGCTTAAGTTCCCTAACAATTGCCACTAGCCTATTGCGTTTTAATTATCTCTTAGAATGCGGTGATTGGTTTAACAGCACTACTGGTGTTATTCGAAGTCCCGGATATACAGACGATATGCACTATTATCAATGCGTGTGGTACATCCAGTCGAGAAACAAAAGTGTCCTGCTGCGGTTTGTTCATGCTGATATTGAGCACAATCACGATTGCGAGTAAGTCATTAATTAAAAAAAGTGTTCAAGGGGGTTCCCAGTGTATTTGGTAGCTAAACAGTCAAGGGACATAAGTATTCGTCACTTTCAAAAAAGATGCGCGAAATTTTTACTCCCGTTGTGCATTCTATCAACAGGAAAACTTGATGCAGGGCGCGCGTTTGGTCAATAATGGCGGGAAAAATTAGCAAAAATAGAAACAAACAAACATCCGACCAAGAGCACGAAAAAAATTGCATAGTTCCCGAAAGAAAAGAAATAAGAGCTGTTTGTGTTTTGAGTCCTCGTTTATTCAGTCATTCAACATTAAGTTCAAGGTTAAGTCGCTAAGAAATGGTCATTTTTTTTTTTTCTTTTGCTTCTGAGAATTTATTTTCAGCTCTCATGAGCCGAAAAGGTGCTGAACTGTCCACAGAGACGAAAGAATTAATTTTTACTCTGTCGGAATCCGTGAAAAACAAAGCAGAACTGTCAAGAATGTTGAACATTCCAAGAACGACTATCACGAGCGTTCTAAGAAAGTACCGAAGGACTCTGGCACAGTGGAGACTTTGTCCCGAAGTGGCAGGAAAAGAAGCTTCACAAATAGAGACAGAAATGCTTTAAAGCGTTTGGTTAAAAGTAACGGATGACTTACCGTACAACACGTTACTGCAAAGCTAAACGAGTGCAAAACAAAGACTTTCAGCCAGAAAACCTCGCAAAGGGTGTTGCATTCGGAAGGATATAAAAGAAGGTTAGCGAAAGAGAAAATGGTGGTTCGGGAAGCGAATCGAAAAAAGCGAGACAAGTGGTGTAAAGAGAGAAGAGCTCGGACAGTAGATAACTACTGAGAAAAACTGAGTAATGTTTTCAGATGAAAGTCAGATTGTGCTCGGTACAAACAACCGTCTTTACGTTTGGCAAAAAGACGACGAAAAGTACAACCCACATCTCATTTGTTCTCGCTCTGAACGGAAGATAAGTTTGATGATCTGGGGATGTATTTGTTATGACGGTGTTGGAACTCTGGCTGCAGTTGAACGCAACATCAACTCTTCCAAGTACATTGACATCCTAGACAAGAACTTATGGCCAGTAGTTGTCTGGTATTTTGAAGAAAAAGAATACTTGTTCATGGATTACGATGCTCCTGTTCACAGAGCCCACACTGTAAAAAATTATAAAGATCAAAACGAAGTAACCTCAATAGAATGGCCAGCACAATCACCATATTTAAATATAATAGAAAATATCTGGCTCTACATGAAGAGAGAGCTACAAAAGTTCGCGGTAGATATCGCTACCAAAAATGATCTTCTGCGTGAAATCCACAGCGTGTGGCGGAACATCGAATTGGATTATATAAGAAACCTTTACCAGTCTATAACTGACCGCCTAGACAATGTAATTAAAATGAAGGGTCGTATTACTAAATATTTTAAGGTGATTTTAAAGTTAGATTTTCCGAAAACGGTGTTAAAACTAGAGCGCGTAAAATGTAAACAAACGCCACCATATTGAAAGTGACGAATACTTATGTCCCCCGACTGTACCCTCGACGTCGATGGCAACGTGGACGTCATGGGCAAAACAACACCTCTGAACGTCTATCATGCTGTTTGGTACATTTCTTTGACGTCCACTGCACGACCTCGACATGAAAGTTCCTAATGGAACGGTTTATGGATATCAACACACGACGGCAAATTTTCCTTTCTGTTTTTTTTTTTAAGATAAATACAGTGGTTACGGAGGTCAGTTCAACGCCATGAAATTAAAATTGGCCCACATTTGATAAATGAAGAGAGAATGAATACATGCATGGAATTTTAAGTTGTGGTGTCACTGGCTTCAATGTACGGATAAGCGAATAAATTATAAAATGTAACTTTTTATGAGTCTTTTATGGTTTATTGTGCAGACGTTATTTTGTGGCTGTTGGAGATGATAGTGGAGTTAAACCAGACCGATGGTGCGGCGTCACCTTTGAACATAAACCTGTTTTAGCGCAAGCGCACAGAGTGCCTTTAATTTATGAGAGTCACAGTCATATCAGTGGTTGGAGAAAGGGTTTTGAGATGACTTATACAGTCTTGAATGAATCTACCTCGGAAGGTATTAAGAAAACTAGTTCAGGCGTATACTAAATATGCTGGGAAAGCGATCAATTTCAGTTTGAACACTGTATCTTCTTCCGTAGAGGCTCTCTCTGGATATTGTAAAAATAAAACAGAAATAATGAAAAACGCGCAGGGAACTATGTGAAGAGGGAATTGGCAGAAGCCCTTTTCCCTTCCCAACTTCCACCGCGCGCTTTCTTTTTGCCTCTCCCCAGACTCCTGATGACACAACGAAGAGAGAGAAAAACAACAAAAAGTTTTAGTACAGTAAAAGTCCCGTCATCTTATTAATGCATACGAAATGAGAGATATCAAGCCTTCAAAATCCACTGGCTGTAATAAAAAAAAATAAAAACAAACAAAACTCGACAACTTCTTGTACAACATGTCCCCGAAACGTTTAAGATATAATAATAATAATAATAATAATAATAATAATAATAATAATAGTAATAATAATAGTCCTATTTTCAATAAATTATTTCGGTTTACAAAATGTCCAGAATGCATTAAGAAAACGAATTTATAAAGTTTCGCGTAGCCAAGGAATTCCCAAAAGACTAGTGATCTCACGTTTGCCTTGGCATTTCCAAATATTTCCTTAAGAAACATTTTTATGGTTTAAAGTAGTATGATTTGTAGTATTACATAATATTTAATGATATAATCAGTATTTATAAGTCATATGATCACAGCAGCAAAGTTGACAATTACACTGTAAATTTTTTTCAGCGACGCTTGTGCCAAACTGGAGCATATATAACATGACGAAAATGGATCTTGATAAAATAGTAGTTGAGTGGCATCATCATCCACCGTTGACGTATCCTCACGAATTATTTGCATATGCAGTGGTTTGTACACCTACCGATGGAAAGCTAGGTCCAACCCTCACAACTGTACGAGGGAATATAAACAGAACGGAAATACATCGTCTGAGACCCGGAGCGAATTATTCCTTGGAAATTGTTGCCTTGGTTATTGATAATCAAACCGAGGAGATCACTTTAGAAAAAAGTCAGAGAAATAGCTTGGAGACCGATGAAGGGGGTGAGACGATATTAGTCACTGAGATTTTCGGCACTTCTCGACCTCCACCCAGCCGCGAAGCAAGCAACACGGTGCATGTGTTTTCGCACCGGGCTGCTCACTAGGGACCGTAAGCAACCACGGCCACGGCAACAACGACGACGTAAAGATATAATTGGTGTAATGCTGAGCAAAATAACAGCTCTACACGTGCATCACGCTTTTTTTAGCCCATTTCGTTGACGTCCACTTCACGACGTGAAACCTCCTAATGCGACGTTTCATGAAGGATTTGAACACACAACGACGGATTCCCTTTTCTTTTTTTGAAGCCAGATAAAGTCTCTTAGAATCCAAATCCATGAAAAGTCGCCCACATTTGACAAATTGAGCTAGTCTAAATAGACGCGCTTAAGTTTGAAAGAACGCGTATTCATTTTTTTAGCGATGTTTTCACTACCGTTGTCGTTCTCGTTGCTTAAGCTCCCTATTGCCTTGATCACAACCGTTGTCCCATATCTTAACCACGGGCGACAAAGATGAGCATAATCAAAGAGTGAGAATGACACTATATTATCACAGTAGAGAAAACCTGAGAACCCAAATAATTTTGTTTGGTTCTTTTTTATTACAGTGCCATCCGAACGTCCCGAAATAGAAAGGGAAGAGACCTACCTCAACATTTTCACTTTCTTCTATATCAAATGGAGGCCAATTCCCCATGACAAGTGGAACGGTAATCCCCGTGGATACAAAGTATTTTATCGGGCTGGTAATACAGGAGCATTTCACACAAAAACTGTCCCACCAGATGCCCTTGAGGCAAATATTACGATTGAGAGCGACCCAGCACCTTACAAGATCAGGGTTGCGGCCTTTACTAGAGCTGGAGATGGACCGATGAGTGATCCTCGAGAACGGCGAGGTAATTCTGAAAGCACTTGTTCATATTTTTCAAGGATAAATATGCTTTTGATGTTAGTTCATGAGGCAAATAGTAGTCTTGCAATAGCGCTGTTTAGACGCTTGGCAGTTTCTGCTTCTCTGTTTCGCATAAAGCTGAAGAATCCCTAATGCGGGAAATTTATCTCAATCTAGAAATACCTTCAATCTATCCGGAAGTGTTGCAAGCAGGTTTCTGGGGTCAGTTTTGGGATGTTTTATGTCTTCAGTAGCGCAAAAAAAAGAGAGAAAGTTGACACAAGTGATATATTCTCCACCTCTCCCGATATATTTTATCCTCCTTAGGGTATTCCTTATAAATCCAAAACCAACTTGCGCGCCGATTGTGGCAAAACTGCTCATAATTTTTCTTGTTTAGACCGTTCTCAGTCGTGTTATCAACAGCTAATACAAACTTATTGAAAACGATGAGAGCGAAGATGGGTCTCATCCCCTCAGGATTTTTAATACAACAATAATGCCGTCGTTTCATTGTTTTGGTACACCAATTTGGCATCGGTGACATGATGTGAAAATCATCGTTACGGACAATTCGTGAAACGTTCGTGATTTCTCTTCGGGTTTTGGCTTATGGGTCAAAACAGTCTTACGAGGGTGTTCAAGGATGCTTGAGGGTGGGGGAATAATCATGCCCACCAAACATACTAGTGCAGGCCGTTTTATCTTAAAGACAATTATGATTTATATGACTGATTTTGCAGCATATCAGGCTAACATTATCGGAAGAATGGGTGTATTCACAAGTCCTAGATTCCCACAGACCGTACCTGGAAATTTGGAGTGTTACTGGGGTTTCCACCCAGTCTATTTTCCTCAGCGCTTCCGAATGGTGGTGGCTTTTGAGGCTGCCTACCTTAGAGATTCCGAAGGAGCTCCCAACTGCACGTGAGTCATCTAAACTAGTTTTTGGATAAACTGCAAGTTATATATACCTTAACTATATCTACTTTGAGTTTGGATACTGCCGGAAACTTCATAAAAAACCAAAGCGAAGAAACTCAGCTTTTCCAGAGTCCTAGATTCCCACAGACCATACCTGAAAATTTGGAGTGTTACTGGGGTTTCCACCCAGTCTATTTTCCTCAGCGCGTCCGAATGGTGGTGGCTTTTGAGGCTGCCTACCTTAGAGATTCCGAAGGAGCTTCCAACTACACATGAGTCATCTGAACTAGTTTTTGGATAAACTGCAAGTTATATATACCTTAACTATATCTACTTTGAGTTTGGATACTGCCGGAAACTTCATAAAAAACCAAAGCGAAGAAACTCAGCTTTTCCAGAGCACATCAAGCTTTTCATCGTCTTGTTTTGTCTTTGTTATGTTGATTCTGTTTCAGAAATTTGCAAAATGATTGGATGGGATTTGCTCGCATTAACCCTTTGAGGTTCATATCTGGCCCGTTCTGTGGAACCTACCTTCCCTTCGCAGTGCTTTCCTGGGAACACACAACCGATACTCCTTATATGGGCTTTTTCACAGGAGATGGACCTGACAGTCGTGGTTTCAATGCCAGTTACTTTGTGGTCTTCGATGTTTCAAAAATAAGTAAGTAATGACTGATTGTTGTTGTCAAGTTATTGCTTGTTTGTTTGTTTGTTTGTTTTTTTACCCACTGATCTCTTTCTAATTTTTTTTCTTCGACTAGCGTTTTGGTGTGTCAGCCACAAATATAGGTGCAAAAATATATCAGAGAGAAAGCGTGAATTTTTGCGCGAGTTCCAAATAGCTGTAGAATGCCCGCACATGAATGCCATATTTAAAACGTGTGGCGAGAAATTCGTAGAACCAGTTGTTAACCGTTACAATCATTTCTTGCTTTCTTAGGGCGCGTTCTTTGTTTTGTATTTTATTTTTTTGTTGTTGTCGTTGAAAAAGGTGTTTTTTTGCTTTCAAACCCAATTAACTTTCCCTTTTAGTACTGACTCATTTTGATACCAGGTCTGCTTACTGTGCTTTCGATGAGAATGACAGACCTAAGCTGAGTAGACTATTTATCTTAAAAGTGACCATCACTCCATGTTCCTGTTTACATTAGTGAGCTCAATAGAACTAAATAACAATACCATATCTATTTCTTAATCAGATTTTGAAGTCATTGGTGTAAAAGTATTTACCAGTTAATGTAGCGCATTTACATTAACGAATCTAATGTACTTGTGGCCATTATTCCACTCATGTGTGGCTATTGAATAGATATTATTATTGAACAGGTATTGGCTATTGGCTAATATGATTAGCACGTAAAGAGAATGATACATTCAAACCAGCTTAAGACTGACTCCAAAGGGAAACAAGACCCAATTGTTCGCGATGTTATAAAGACTTGTAGGAAATTTAATTTACGGTGTGCCTGGAGGTACTGTAGGCCAGTATTTTGTGTAAATACCATAAAGAGAATGACACAATCGAACTACAGTACAGATTTCACATTTAATTTTTATGTCATTGGTATAAAAGTATTTACCAGTTAATGTTGCACATCTACATTAACTTGTACTACATGTACTTGTGGCTATTTTCCCACTCATGTGTGGCTATTAAATAGATCGAATTGTAGCTTTAATTACCGACCATGCGCTCTTATAAATAGTCCTTTTCCAAGGTACTTGCAATGCCAAGGAAGCTGAGACAGCGTAGCGTGAAACCGAGGCCATGGTACCCACAACTGATAGCGGGTAAAACAAATTTTACAGTAACTGAGCGATTTCTCGCGCGCTGATTGGTCCAGAGATGTGTTCTATAAGAGTATACAGACCATGGAAAATTGTTGTCGATTTGTTAATCAGCCGGTAGAACAAAGAAGGAAAATAAACAGTTCTTAGAGGAGTCCTATATTCCCCTGTTCGAGCGTGAATATGCGTGATTTTTGATAGAAAATTGTCAATGTGGCTGTTTGCAATCTTGCAATTATGGCGCCAATTGTATCATATTTGGCTCGTTAGGTTTATCAGTTGTTTCTGGGACTATCACGGATTACAATGTACAAGTGGCTTGGACTAAGACTAGCATACCAGAACAGATTAAAGAGTACTTTATTTTCTACAAGCCAGTCAGAGAAGAGAATCAGCAAATTAATAATGGCTGGAGTTTCAAGAGGTCAACTCAGCCCTCCACTACCCTGGCTCCTCTTCAGCCTGCTACCGGTTATGTTGTGTCTGTGTTGGGTTCCACGTCAAGCCGCAAGGTGTACGGAAGCAATGACGTTACGTTTCAAACCACTGGAGGTATTGTAACCCTAACTTTTAAGTACAGTCGTCTCTTGTCGCTCTCCGCCGCTAGGGACATTAAATTTCGCTCGGAGCGGCGAGGCCTATTTCCCTTTCGTAAATGGTCGTTGCCATTTTTAACGGTCGATGCCACCATTGATAACCAAGGCTTTCGTCATGATGGATGTAATATTTTCTTTGGATTAAGTTGCAATAAGGCAAATTACACGTTTTTGAATAGTTTTAGAAAGAACGAAGTTGAAGCCCAAGTTGAATTTACGTTAAAAATTATGGAAAAAGCTAGCCGGGTCACCTGTTATTGATGTAACAGTTAAGAAAGACAGTTTCTAGTGTATGAACTTAATTTTTTCGGAATTCGGTGTGGTAGTGTAATGGTAAGGGAGAGAAATTAGGATGCGAAAGGTCCGGGTTCGAGGTTCAGGTTCGACCCTGGGTTGTGATTTTCTTTCTTTTCAAGTAAAAATTGGAAAAATATTTTTCCAGGTGTGTTTATGAATGGAAAACATCCGTTCGTCAGTATTCACTTGAGTGGCATCTCTCACGCTGCCATAATAAGTTAGATGAGAAACGGAGACACTTTAATACTTGTCATACAGCTCATACGATCATATTTTCAGGGAAGAAAGAACAGAGTAAGGATAGGTTCTGTAACAAGTGACTGGGTTGTGGTGAAGAGAGGATGTCCACAGGGAAGTACGTTTGGACCACTCATGTGGAATATTTTCCAGAACGATATGCCTAGCATAATATCAGATGCCAATGTCTCGATGTATGCGGATGACCATCAGGTCTTTGTAGCAAACGAAACAACCAAAAGCGTGGAGAAGATACTGGTGGACAATGGAGAGAGGATGACTAAATGGTATCAAGATAATCTTTTAAAAGTCAATTGCGATAAATATCAAGCCATGGTTTTGGGAAATCCAAAAGGAGAAAGGAACGTTGATCTGGATATATGTGGCGAAAAAGTCGAACAGTCACAATCCATCAAGATCCTAGGTGTAAACCTAGATGAAAACCTAAACTTTAGAGATCATATACGTAGTGTGTGTAAGAAAGTTGGCGGGATGATCGGAATATTAAGAAGGCTTAAAAATCTTATGCCAGTAAATGCCAAGTTACTTTTGTACAAATCAGCTATTATGCCACACCTTACTTATTGCCACCTAGTGTGGCATTTTTGCACGGCATCTGATAGTCGTAAATTGGAGCGTCTACAAGAAAGAGCCTTAAGATTAGTGTATAATACTACTACCGAAAGTTATGACACCTTGCTGAAAAGAGCTAAGTTGACTATTTTACAAAATAGGAGGTTGCAGGATATACTCATTTTGATGTTTAAAGTAAAAAACAAATTAACAGTGAACCAAATTGCGGATATTTTTAATATCAACGAGGAGAATATTAATAGTAAGAGATATAACCTAAGAAATGCAGATTTTGTCTTACCTCGGTTTAAAACTGTTACTTATGGAAAACATTCTCTCAGATTTCTCGGACCACAATTATGGTCTAAACTAAGCAAGGAGGAGAGAAATATTGCAACTTTGGCAACTTTTAGGACAATGATACGTAAGAAGGATGTAACATCATTTCTTGAGGGATGTGGGAGTGAATGCCGCTTATGCTTAGATTAAGAGGACGTACGCATATTTACTTATTCATTTTAGTGTCCGAGCTAATATACGCATTTAGTTTTTATATTGTAAATTTTCGAACTTAGCTTCGAAGTGTTAAATCTAGAACTTAGTTTTTAGAGTGTAAAAGAGCACTTAGCTTGAATAGTGTCAATTTCCGGCCTTTATAGTACTTAATTAGTTTCTATTAATGATGTAATTTAGTTTTAAAGGTGTCCCCAATTAGTGCCAATAGGCACTAGAACGACAAGACACTTTAATAAAGGTTATGTATGTATGTATGTATGTTGTCTTCGTAAATGAAAATTGTTGTCTCTGTATATGTTTCACCGAATTATTTTCCTTTCGTTGATTGTTAGTGGTCTCTTGTAATTTTAATCGCTGTGCCGTTTGTTTTCAGTCGCTTGTGAACATCGCTTGCAGGAGTACTCAAAATGCCGCGCGTATCAAACGGAGAAGATTACACATCGTTATAAAACCATTAAACAAAAAATAAACATAATAAATTCTTTATAACGTTGAAGCGTATAACTATATATTAATCTTGATTTAAACAGTCGACTTTGGTGCTTGTCAAAAGTGAGAACCGGCTAGCCGTATATGTAGGTGATTTTGGAATTTTTTTTAGTAAAAGCAAACGCGTTCATCGATCGTCCTGAATCTTGAGTGAGTCCGGGGAGTGAGTGCAATTTGTATTGCAAAATTGTGAAATACTGCATTCTGTCCGAGGTCTGTATGATAAAAACAGCGCCTCATGGTACTATTTCACCTCAGATGTGATGTATAAAAAGTATAAAAGGTTGGTTTAAACGTCCCCAGACTTGTTGGCAAGGTTTTGTAAAGTAAATTATAAACTTGTCGAACACAAAAAATTCGGCCTGATTTGTTTTCCAAAAATTTGTTTTCCAGGCCTAATCTACTGTGATCAAGAGCCATTATGGCTCTTAAATGTGATCGAAGATGATTGCTATTCTTTGGGTGTACGTATATAAAGGCTATCAACTCGATCCAAGATTAAGTTCACTCTTAGCTTGGACTGTTTGCAAATTATTTTTCTCTAAAGTAACTTAGCCTTTCCCTCAAAAGTCACATGAATGTGCTCTAAAGTTAACTGATTTGTGGAATACAATTGTTTATTGTTCGATTTAAATTATAAATTCGAGTTAATAGGAGCTACGCTTTTAGCCCTGGCTAAATCTATATATTAATCGGGAAATCCCGCAGTGTAGACTAAGTGAATATCATCTGGGTTTTTGCGAGAAGCGTTCCAGACCAAACGTGAAAAAGCTTGAAAACTTACTCCTTCTTTCTTGCTTTAGCAAGTTAATTTTAATGGATTTCCACTTCTAAACATTTCGCTTCAGCAAATTGTTTGATCGCTCACGAAGAGCTATAAATTAACAGCTTGTACTTTATCGCTCAATGACGATTGTTCTGACCTTTTTATTTCCTCATGCGATACTTTTCCTTGTGTCCCCGTTCTTCTTTAACATTTGATTTAGCTGAAGACCAAACAGAAACAGTAAGGAACGCCTCCATAGAAATCGACCTTTCTATGTCTATTGAGACTAATTCTGTAATCGTTTGGTACGAGATCATGGCTCTGAACAACAATACTCCTCTTCCCCATCTTCTACTTGATTCAGGATCCGATGAAAAGTTTTTGGTATATAGTTGAGATCCGGCCGATTTTTACTTCGATTATTATATATGGCTGCAGCACTTGTCTTATTTGGCTTAAGAGAATCTTGTTGTTACGTCGCCATTTTGAGTATGAAAGCCCTCAGGCCTCGCTTCCATGCAACTTCCGTTTTTTTCTTGAATCGGCGCATCTTTTTTTTTTTCGCTTAAGCTGATATTTTAAGCGAGAAGAATCCGTATTTTGGAAAGCATCTTTTTTGCAAAACAATAACTGACTCCGCGTGACTGGTATGATTTCGTCTTTTAATCAAGGCCATAACAAAGAGTTTTGGGTTTTTTCTCGGGAAAGTTAATTTATAAAAGCAATAGAAAACTTTTTTTCCGTATTTGCATAGCCTGATATAAACACTGGAGGGGCTGACTTCGTCTCGGGTTTTCATAACTGTCTCGAATTCTCCCAACCCCTCTCGTGTTTATATCAGGCTTTGCAAACACGGAAAACGGTTTCCATTGCTTAAATAGAGACGGGTAAGAAAAGTGCGATATACCTAGAGGGGACTCCAGTTGATTTCTTCTTAATAGAGAGGTGTCGAAAAGGAAAACTTTAATTGTATAACCTCTCATTGATCCAACTGACTAATTTAGCTTTTTTCCACCCTTCTTCGTACTTTTTGCATTTAAAATGACAAAATCAATTTCGTTAAAAATTTTTTTTTTGGTAAAGAAAACGTTAAAGAGTGTCCATAAAATTTGCTTGGATTTAAAAAGTGACCTATTTTAAAGGCTAAGAAAAATCCAAACGTCTTCTACCTTGGGTCGAAAACGTTTGGATTTTTCTTTTTTATATATGTATTTTTTAGCCTTGTAAATAATTCACTTTTCAAAACGAAAAGAGTGATATTTAAGTATGTAAAAAACCAAGCAGTATGGTAAACTGAACGTCGCTAGCCGTTTAATAGGCTTGGGGTGATTTCCAGTGCAATATAATTACGTGCGTTCATTACGCGTGTAATTAAAATAGAGGCAATGTATCAAAAGGCCGCACGTAAACTCACTTTAAATTTAAGCGCAACCTTCCATTCATTGCCTCCATTTTATTTACGTCCGCACTCACGTATAAACTCCGCGACAGTGGAAATATCCCTTAAGGAGGAGCATTCCGAATATCTATTCGTCCATTCCTTACGATGGAGCCTGTTCACAGATAAGATCTTCCTATCATATGAAGTCAACACGTTTTTTTGTTCAATTATAATTGTTTTTCTCGCTGGGAAATCCTTCCTGTTACTATCTTAATTATAAATAAGTAAGTTAGGCATTAAAATAAGTTAAAATTACTTTCTATTCATTTTCAGAAGCCGTACCAACCACCCCTGTGATACCAACAACACGTTAGTATAGTGATAAAACTTTTGTCATTAAGCAATAAAACGATCAAATCCATCCCTGATTAACCTTGAATCTCCTCATGCAAGCCGTCGGTAATCAAACGCAGTCTTGGATACTGGATTCCAATCTGTAAATTCCGGATTCCGGATTCCATGTACTGGATTCCACATTCTTTGTCAGTGGAAGGTGGATTCCGGATTCCACTTGTTAGTGGGATTCCGGATTCCTCGAGCTGAATTCCGTATTCCAAAGCCACTACTCCGGATTCCACAAATAAAATTTACCCGGACCCCGGACTCCGGATTTCCTTAAAGGGACGAAATGAATCATCTATATGATAAACTGGTGATCTTTAACTAGGGGTACTTACCATTTAAGGTGATGTTACACGTGACTATTTGCAATGACGATTTTTAGCGCAACACAGCGTTGCCACATTGTTGCGACGTTGTTTCGAATTCTTACAACATTGATCCAACATTGCAACGCTTGCGCTAAAAATCGTCGTTGAGAATCGTCTCGGTAACGTCACCTTTATTTGAGAAAAACCTGAAGTTCCGGTTGAAAAATCAAATGGTTCGCGTCATTCCATTTCGGAAACCTCAGAGAATATATAAGTTGTGATTTTAGGGGATGCAATTTTTGCAGTCTTTTAAGTCTGCTCAGCGGATTTGGATATTCTTTGTAGCGAGTTGTTCTGCAACCGCGTAAATTTTTTTTTTAGTTTTATGTTTATGCGCAGAATTTCACCCAGGAGGTTTGTGTAAATGGTAAGCACCGTAGTTCGTAGGTTAGTCCCCACTTACCCCTCCCCTAACCCTTCATTTTGCCCAAAGTGAGAATTAAGTGTTAATGTTAGCTTAGGGGAGGGGTAGGTGGGCAGTTTCCCAGAAACCTAAATTGATCCGGTCTTTCTGGGATACCTAAGGTCAGTCGAAGTAGAATACAACCTCGCCGAATTACTCGAAGCTTACTTAAATCTAGTCCTGGGTTAACAGTAGAATTGGCGGATTATTTTGTCAAGAAGACTAACTATGGATTTGCGCTTGTTGCTTCATAAAAGAAGCCGGCCGCAAATCGCCTTCATGCATGGACAGAAGAAAGTTTCGCTAAGGACGGAAAATGGTCGTAAATTATGGCTTTCCTATGACTATCCTTTTCATGGTTCTTTCACATAAAACAATCTGTGAAGCGCTGAACCATTTTAGACAAAAAACGACTACTTTTAAGTAAAGCATCATCACTTGAGTTCCACGATGTTAACTCACAAATACAAATTTTTTTCAGCGCCTGTTATCCGTTTGCACTCTTACGGATATTCAGAAGTTACGCTGTTCACTCATATATACAATTGTTCTTTCAGCACCTGTTACCCGTTTGTACCCTTACGGATATTTAAAAGGAGACTCACATATCAACTTCGGCAGCAAATGCAAAAGAATTGACATACCAAGAGGAGGGATGAGATTCTTTCAAAAACGACACAGAAAGTTTCATGTACGTAAAAACTATTAATATATGTTTATTAAAGGCTTTTTTATCATTTGTCTTACGATAGACATGTTATTTTTTGATCACGACGTTAACAACGCGTATTGCTGGTCTTCGTTAGGCGATGCTGTCGAAATTCTAGGCGGGACGTTAAATACTGTGGTAGATTGTGATTGTTTTTAAAACCTTCACTGATAGTGGTTTTCAATCCAAAGAACCATAAATCTGAACAGTCTACCTTTCACAAACACCAAATTCCGTTTTCAAATTCAACGTCATACCCCACACAATAATCCTTTCAGAGAAAGTAGATAACAACCTAAACAACTGTAACCACTCCATAAAGCCTAAGATGTCAGAATGAAATTGTAAACAGACTTTTTGGCTTTAACCATCAGCCCTAGGGTTGATTTCTGCCGCTCTCTCGGTCCTTCTCGGGCAGGAGCGCTGGCTCATTTCCCCGACAGCGGCTGGTAATTTAAGAATCCTTAGTCTATTTCATTTGATTATTTTTATTGATTTATTGATTTATTTTTTTGTCACCATATCAGATATGTCCAAATGGCGTGATACAGTTTGAGAGGGACAGAATTAATCAGCGCCCATATCCATTTGGTCAAAGGTGGTGGTTGAGATTTAGTTCAATGTTAGCACCATATTGGACACGAGTCGATCTTGGCCGCTCATTTACCACTTCAATATCCAAAGTGTATTATCACATCTATACCGGACCAAGATCCAATGGAACCTTAAGCAAGGCCACATCAGACGTGTTGAGTGTATTCCAAAGCAAACTTCCGGAAGGAAAAACATTCCAAGCCTCTTGGGTCTGTGTTGTGACATGGGTGAATCTCCGCCACGCGAACTTGAATCCAGTTACGGAGAACCTGGTAAGGCTCGGGTGACTTACAGCCCTTTTTATGTATACTGTACTACCTAGGCACTAATGTGAACTAACCTTTTTTAAGAACTAACGCCAGAACACAAGGTCTAGACAGCTCGGGAATTAAACTTGAAACCTTTGTCCCTGTGTGTTGACGTTTTTTGGTAGACGATCTACAACTCTGCGTACCCATTATTTCATGTAATGCTCGACATTTGAAATGGCTACTGACAGGGCGAAAAGTTTGGATCAATTTTAACTGCCCACCTACCCCTCTCCTAAGCCATCATTTTGTCCTAAGTGAGCAGTAAGTGTTAACGTTAAGTTAGGGGAAGGGTAGGTGGGCAGTTTCCCAGAAACCTAAATTGATTCAAACGTTTTACAAACTTACATATCGTGTAGTCAGGATGTAAATAAAACACCATTTTGTTCCGATATTCAGGCACAAGTGCTCAGGCATCAAGTGTAAACATAGCCTGAGTCAATTGTTTGTAGCGTTTTTAGTGCCAAAAATCAAGTGATCCCCCTAAAATTCCCCGGGCGATAAATAATGACCGGTCCCTTAGGGCTTTCCTAAACTTACACTCTATCAATGAGACCTAGCAAGTGTTCTGAAAGCACACCATTTCCTCAAAGATGGTGAAACTATATCCCCCACGTTCTCAGGGCTTCCTCACGAGAAACGTACGTTTCGTTTCACAACACAACCACCCACTCGAAAAGGACTTTTGAATCCAGTAACGTTTGTGGGCCTGGCCACACATATCTAAACTTACACCCAATAGCATACGATTCAAGTCTGGCAGGACATTCCAGAGTACTTGTCTGATAGGATAGAACGTATTCAAAAGAGAGCACACAAAATTATATACCCTCAGGGGCACCCAACGACAATTTTCGGAAAAATATCTGTTCGGAAGACGATTTGAGATCTAGAATTTTCGGAACATTTGTTGTAAAATTTCTTGCTTGCCTGCCTCTCCTAGGATTTTCGAACATCTACAAAATGGTAAAATTACCCATTTTTAACGGATTTTGACCTTAAAAAAGGCCACCTAGAATTTTCGGGAGCCTTTTCCTGGCTGAAATTTTCGAGAAGGTAAGTTTTGATCCCTATAATTTTCGGATCACTAGACTTTCAGCTAGGAAATCCGAACAGATGAAAAGTTTTTAGGGGATAAAAATATGCCTATATCTACCGTTTAAATACTAAAATACCGTCAACGATGCTATGTTAAGTTGTTTTGAACTATATCCTCGTTGGGTGCCCCTGTACCCTGAATGCACAGCCTATAATCAAGCCCTTTTAGAGGCAAACGTCTCATCTCTAGCAAATAGAAGGGTTTCCCTGTGTCGTCGATTTGTCTGTGATGTGGCTAGCAATCACCATAACCCATGAATATCATTCCTTATTCCCAATCTGAAACAACAACTGTCTCTTATAATTTAACATCTGGTAGTGAAAGAACAATAAACAAATTAAGAAGAACTAAGATAGCCAACGATTTTTTTACATTTAGATATTCTTAAACATGATTACTAGTACAATTGTATACTCCTAGCTTAGTTATGTTGTATTTTTTCGATTGTATACGCATCACTTGTTCATTCAGTATTTTTTAACTGCAAGAAAGTAAAATACTATTTTATTTTATTTATTTTATTTATCTGAAGATATTCTCTCAAGAGAGTGCGTTAATGAAGGTCGTAGATTGAAAATGGTCAATTGAAAGAAACTATCCGCCCCTCTGGAAAGAAATTATTTCTACCCTTATAGTGATTACACCATTCACGAGACTTTAACCTTCTACCATTCGGAATAGATGATACTATTTCAGCTGAGCAAAACTGATTTTTTACAAGTGATTTCTGTTTGCTTTGACTTCAGATGAACACGTTCCAAGCCGTCATCGTCACCGACAACAGATTCTCGTTCGTCATATTTAACTATCCTCATAACGGCATCCAATATTCTGCTCCAACCCGCCGGTAAGTGTAAAAAATGCACTTTGCATTTCATTTGAGTACTAATTGGGGACACTAATTTTACGTCTTCGATTGGAGACGGAACCGCCATTTTACGAAGGGCTGGCCGCTTGCAACAGGGGTCTTTTTTGCATGAGCATGCGCGACTGCTGACTTGTCAAAGAGCACGCGACCAGTGACAGCAACCGTGCTGCATAGTCATAGGAACCAAATTGCTCACTTTGAAATCTTGCTTGAGATTGAAATGGTAGCAGGAACTTAGGAAAGACCTTCGTTGTACAAAATAAGTAAAGATCTGTTGATTTAAAGTGGAGACTGGTGCGCTGAACGAGGTGAAAGAGCAAGTTTCTCAAGGATGTCTGACACGAACATGGCTGCTTGTTGTTGTTTGGCGCTCGACTCGTATCTTGATTCCCCTTTAAGAACCGCAAAGTTTGGCATAGAATGCATTCCTGATGCGTAGCTATTGAGCAAAATGTTCTTTATTTATTGTTTGTCTATAAATCGGATGTAAATCAGTTTCTCGATGCCTTAGAGGATTTCTGTCAATAATTTGTTAATAGCTGATTTAGCCATATTTCGGGAATGGATTAATAACGATCAGCGGGCGACTACCACGCCGTTTTCAGTTGGAATAGAAAGTTTTTGCCTTAAGTATTTTAGCGATACAAAGTTTGTTTATAGGAAAATTGTAGAACTTCTTGTTTTTGCGTGGACTAACATTGTAACGCATCTTTTACAGGAATTTGCTTTTGGCCAGAACTTAAAAGTTCCAATGATTTTTAACTTTTGGTCGGCATCACATGTTTACTGTACCCTACCCGTTTGTTTCATCAAAATCGGTCACAAGATTGAACTTAAATTTCGGTCCTATTGAATGCAGTTTTGACTGTGTCTCATTGATATTCATTCTTGTTATTGTTCGAGACATACAGGGTGACTACCACCAACATCTCACCAGGTGACTAATCTACGTCTCGTGTGCTCTTAATTTTGTAGCTTTAAAGTGCTGGGAAAATTGTAGAACATATATTAATTCACTGCTGAACTGAACATCGGCTTTCGCGCACTTCGAACCCACTCGCCGAAATTTGCTATGTTTTTTTTTTTTAATATTTCTTTTCCTTTCCAATTTCAAAACAAGGAAAATTGAAAGTGTTTACTTGCATCAACAAACGTTTCTGCACTTTGTTTAGACTTTGATGAGGTCAGTGCAATCCTCCAGGAACTACATATACGTGCGCTGTTGTCCAGGTCAAGTGGGGAGATGAAATTTGATAGTAGCTCATGTATGTTAAAGCCGGTCTACTTCGCTTTTGTTAAGACCATATTAGAGTTTTTTTTGCAAACTACACATTTTGTTAAATCACGAGCACATCCGCCAAGACCAACGAGCAAAATAATCGCTATGATAGCTTTGAGACGCGCCATTTTGATGAAGGCAAACCCTGTGGTGAGCCTCCATGCACATCGCTTGTTCAGCGGTCGCGCATGCTCATGCAAAAAAGACCCCTGTTGCCGCTTGCTGGCTAGAGTAGACGTCTTATGGTGTTATTTGTGCTTTATATTGCCAACAGCGGATTATACAGGAGGATAAATACACCTTAACCCTAATAGACTAGCCCATCTGAGGCCTTTATACTGCAAAACAGTCGGGGCTTCTTATTGTATTTTATTTATTATTTTTTTCTTAACTGGAAACCACAAACTGCCGGGATAATATCTCTGCGCGAAGGGCGAGAGCTTTTTTTTTGACAGCTGAACAAACAATTCTTACCCTCGCGCAGCGTTCTTGACGTACGTAAAATAAGGGCATCTTCGCAGTCTTGGGGGCTGCTTTGTGTTCCGTATTTGGCGGCATTATTGAAAACAACGGTGATAAATAGGTTTGCAGAATACAACGTGTAGATTTTCACCAGAAGTGCTTTTCTCTTCCTTCGTTACAGGTCAAACTACGAATATTTTAACTTTTTTTATTTACTTTTCTCTTCCTTCGTTACAGGGCAAACTACGAATATTTCACCGACTATCAATTCCTTCCTGTCATTGGTTTCAACGCAGGAGATAAGGAAAACAATTTTCGCAATATTCCAAGGTACGTATGCTGTTTATTTGGATCAGGCACATCCCGAAAACGAGGCTTTGCTGAACAACTGAGTTACAGTCAAGACTAGTAGTACTACTATTAATAGACCTTATTCACGTTACCCGCCGTCTTTGCACGCGCTAAAGGATTAATGGGGAAAAAAGCAATGTCACATGATTTCTCAGGGGGCAAAAAAATGATAAAAGCTGCCAATGCAAGAAATCACGGTCGAGTTTGTTGACTCTAGACAACAGAAAATAAAAAACGTTTCATAATAAAGACGATAGCGGCAAATTGTGGGTAGAAGTAAACATCGTTACTTCTTTGGATGCTGTAGCGACCGTAGATGTCCTCACAGCAAACAATAATAACGTAAATATTGTCCAAACTCGAAATGTACTTTTTGCTAGTCTATAAAATTGTCGTCTTGTTTTGACAGCATAAACAAGGTCGACCGCGATTTCTTGCATTGGCAGCTTTTATCATTTGGTTGCCTCCTGAGAAACCACGTGAAATTGTTTTTTCCATCAGCCCTTTAGCCCGTGCAAAGATGGCGGGTATCGTGAATAAGGTCTATTGCCCATTCTAGAAACTATAAGGGGACTGGGTACAAGCTTTTGGCGTAATGATTTCTAGGATCGTTCGGGTGGTCAAGGATTAATTACGATTGGTTAATCGTTACCTTGAATACCATCGACCAATCAGAGCTAACGCATGTCCACCCCAAATGATCCCGGAAATCACTACACCCAAAGCTTGCACCTATTTTCCTCAGAGTTTCTGAAGTGGGCGATAGAACAGACAAATAGGTCAGTTTTTTTTCTTTGATTTTTTCTTCACTTCACATCAGTTATGTGACGAAGAGTTTACTTTCAAAATAAACTGGCATGCACGTTACATGTAGTCTTTATTTTAAGACATTTTCCTCTTGTTACCGGAAATACCCTTTGAGAGCTTAACCACAGGTAACCCAGGCTCTGTGATAGCACCACAGGACTGTTCCAGTAATGAGAAAAAAAGCACGTGCATCATGCTCTTTTTAAATAAACAATCGAATTAAGTGTGATGGTGTGATGCACATTCCAAGCTGATGTTTTGCTAATCTATGAAATTGGTGTTTGTTGTTAATGTTGTTGCTGTCGTCGTAGTCGATTAAGCTTTTGCGCTTTGAAATTGGAATTTTCCGAGAGTTAAAAAATTGCAAAATGCAAACATCACCTTTTACATGTTTCTTTCCCTTTTTTCTCATTTTCACTCGTGCACTGGAACATGTAGTTTGCTTGGGCCAGTCGCGTTTGTCTTAAGTGAACAATAGCCCTCGAGCACATATATTTCCAGCAGGAGTGGCTAACTTTTGTAAAGCTATGTATCGGTCCCTAGAAAAGTCAACCCAGGGCACCCGGGATGGATTTTTTTGTACAGTGCCCAGGCCTCATTTTCTTGGCCGCGCGTTAATCTGGCCCGGCTACTTCGGCGAGCATATTCTCGGCCTTTTTGGATTACATCCTTCGAGTTTGTCAAGGTCTGCGGGATTCGTTTTTTATCTGGGAAAGCTTCATTGGTTTCTATATCTGCTGCTATCCTATTATTACTATCCTGGCATGTTTATTTTCTGTTGGAGTTCGAATTTCATGGAAAACGTTGTGTTGAATGAGAGCATGGTGGCCAAGATGGCATCTCGTGCCTCCTACCTTGTATATTATTATTGGTAGTCTTTACACTAGAGCTAAGATAAGCTAAGAAATATTTCAAGACAAGTAAATTTTAATTACTTCAAGTAAAATAAAGCTTCACACACAACCGATTCTTTTTTACTTTGGGTTATTTTCCCACGCAACAAATTAAGATTGATTGACATGTCTCGCCTTTCTCAAAGCTCAAGAAATCGCAAAACCGCAAGTCAGCTAAGTCATTCATAAGGATGGTTTTCAAGTCGCTTGAAACTTTCTTGAATCGTTTCAACTTCCGACTTTAATGAGATGCAAAGCAAAGTTACTCGAGATTTTACTAAGGCCTTCACGCACGAATTTTTGGTTAAGTAAAACTTAGCGGCTCGTAAGTCTTACTTAACAGCCTAGTGTAAAGACAACAATTGTAAATAGAGTGAATTTGAACAAATTATCACGAAACTTCGTTGGAGCATCAAGGACAACAACAACTAACTGCAGAGTAAGTTTTGTTGATCTTTATTTAGTATTTCCTAAAAATTTTAGGATCCTATTTTTACCCCTTACAAACACTGTAATTTTACTGGAACCGTACTGTGGTACTATCACAGAGCCTGCGTTACCTGTGACCAAAACAAAACGAATGATAAAATATTAAAACGCTTGAGGTTAACCAACCGACTGTCGATTTTCTTGTCACGGAACAGGTCAGGTACTGTAGAAGCTGAAAGCATTGACAACCTACCTGGAAATCAGGAAAACATACCCGGGCGATGGATCATGCGACTTGAGAATTCTAATGGTGAAGAGGATAGCGATGTCAAATGTGAACAGTGGTTTGAAGAGCAGCCAGATCTAGATTATACCAACTCCACTAAACCGGACCCTTGTCCCTGTACGTTAGATCAGGCAAGAGTGGATAATAGGTATACATGGGTTGAGTCACTTTTCCCTTACACAAGGTGCTACTACACGGTCAGGCGCTCTAGTGATAACCAAGGTAGAAAGTGTTGTTACTTCATAAACGCTGAGAAATTGGGAGCTTTGATTATCGGAAAGCGCATTGCAGGTGCAATTGACCGCTTCCATAAGCTAGTTCCAGAATTAAAGGATGATCACAACTCTAGTGATATCATGGGCTTTCAGTATTGCTGCATTGGAGCAAGAAAAATAGGGGCAATGTGCAGGAAGTATTTTCAAAAGCGGCCATCTGAGGGCTGTGAGGCATATGTACCCCCAGTTCAAGGTAAGATACTTTTGGGTGTTTATTATTAGCATTAGCATTAGAATTAGCATTATCAATTAGTATTATCGTCTTCCTTTGCATCATCATGAGCATTAGCATTGTCATCATTTCATTCAATGGATCATAGTTAATTGATTGGAATGGTTATGAAACCCGTCAGACTCCTTTGTTATATGTTTTTGTGGACCTGAAAGTGCACAACGTTCAAAAGAATTCCTATCATTTTGAGTGTATTGATCAATAAAAACGTTGCATTAATTTATTCCGTAACAATTTGCCAACAGAAAACAAAGGATTGTGCACTTTCACGGTGCTTTGAACATAAACTGCAGCACTGTTGTTTTTATCATTGATGTTTGCCGCTTTTCATAACCAGTCTCCTCTAATAACTATGAATGGATGGTGTGGAAAGACGGTTATGAGATTAAGAAAGTTTCTTCTGGGTAGATACAATGCCAAATTTCCTTTCCTAGGTGCTCCCCGCACACCTTCATCCGGAGCTTCTGTACAAAGTTATTGCTACATGTTTTATTATAACTCACAGCTTTGACTTGATTGAAAACAATAAAACCTATTTTGCTTGAAAAGAAGCTTCAGATTTTTGTTGGGACTTAAATTGTGATCATGGGATATTGTTTTGTATTACAGCTCCTACTTTCGGGGATCCTCATGTTTTGACACTTGACGGCAGAAACTACACCTTTAACGGACTTGGTGAGTACACAATGATATACATCAACGATGGGTTCTTTCAGCTGCAAGCTAGAACAAAAGTTGCTAAAGGAGGAGGAACAGCGACCATCTTTGCTGGTGCAGTGGCGAAGGAGGAAAGTACATGCACAGTGCAGGTTGCTTTGAAAGACGAAGGTCAGTGAGCGCTAAGATACAAGTTTTTTCACTTGTTTTCTCTTTTACCTCACATGGCATGATAGCAGTAACCGATCGTATTCAGTAGGTGTTTTATGTTCCTAACATGTGATATCGTTTGCTTGAATTTATTACAGGAGGATTGGAAGTGCTGATAGATGGTCAGCTGTACAGCGACTACGACACTTTGACAAACGCCAGCGTGTTTGTCAATGGATCTCTAGCACTGTCACGTCCAGAAAGCAACTCCTTCCTCGTGACGTTCCCCTCTGGGATATCTGTAACAGTCACTGAACTACAAGGCTCTCTCACTATAGTCTGTGCTGCACCCATATCCTTCAAAGGAAACACCAAGGGGCTCTTAGGGACTTGGAACGAGGACACCCTTGATGACTTCTTAAGACCTGATGGAACAACTCTACCATCCAATGCCACAGGCCGTCAGATACATTTCGATTTTGGATTACAATGTAAGAGACATTTCATATTCATTTCAATGTTTGTCAGTTGTTCAGTGTAGCAACCACAAAAACACGCTATCAATAAACTAGAACGCCGTAAATCCTCTATTAAGCCCCAAGGGGTGGGGGTGGGGGGAGGGGCTTATCTATTTCAAGCCCATTTGAGGGGGAGCTAAATAGAGACGGGAGGCTTATTTGAGATGAGGGGGGGGCTCATTTAATTTAGAAAACTAAAGACGATGGTATCAGTTCTTCATAAAGAACTAGAATACAAAGTGGAAAAGCTCAGGTACACGATGGAGGTCATGCAGCCGAGGATCAGAATCAAATCCGGAATCAAATCTGAACTAGTTGGTAAATAAACTACCCCAGATCAGCCCACACGGAGTTTTACAGTCGTGATTGATCAATACAGTCTACCATTTCTTAGTAAAGAATGATTAGGGGAGGGGATGGGGGCTTGTTATTTTTCTTCCCCTGAAGCTGGGGGGGGGGGCTTATTAGAGGGAGGGGGCTTATTTGAGAGGAAGGGCTTAATAGAGGATTTACGGTAGTCGTTTAAATTATTCAAGACGGCTAAATTTGATACCCATTGTCTATGGTGAAAAAAAATTATTTCCAGTGGTAGACACATTTGTATTAACAAAAAAATGGTTAAACAGAGATCGCCGCTACAGTTCAAGTCATTTTACTTTTAAATGATTTGGTGTATGGGTTAAATAAGAAAAGAGGATGTGTTTGTATATTGTGACTTTAACAAATTAACATGTTTCAATGTAGGGCAAGTGATGGAGAACACAACCCTATTTACCTACAGTCCTGGAGAAAACATAAGCACTTACGCTAATACGTCATTTGTTCCTATCTTTCTGGACGAGCCAATAAATTTTGCAACCGACGAGTTAAGGGTTGCAGCAGAGCTTGCTTGTCAAGGGGACGCGAACTGCTTGTTCGACATCGCTTCCACTGGAGATGTATCTGTTGGAGAGAGTACCAAACAAGTGGCTGTACAAATTGAAAGTGAATCACAAGCATTGGGTAAGACAGTGGCGCAGTTGATTATATCCATGTAGTTACTTCTGCATTATAATTTTTTGAATATTGTCATATTATTGTCAAGCATCTGCGTACCTATTAACGTTCTTTCCGGGGTCCCCTCCTACTCGGCCCCTGGACAGGAAACGACATGGGACCGAGGTTACTGGCCGCTAACACAGACATCCTCAGAACAAGTCACGCAGTCCGCAGTCCCGCGCGAAGATTGCCCGCATGGCGTGCTTTCAAGAAGTCTGGATGTAATGCTAGACTCCAGTTCAATCTAAGCGATTGCGATCATGACAATCGTTCGTCTCATCCTACCGTGCCTCAGAGGTTTTTTATAAGATCGCGTCGATCGTCTGTACTTTGAGACGACTCGGGTGATCTGAGAAATCCTAAACGAATCAAGCTTCATCTAACATATCTTGTTCTAGAAAATTTAACACAGTAGTCACTTTTAATTTCGCCACTGGAAAGCATCGTAAGAGCTGTCTTGATGTCTATACGACTCGTTTGGAGACTTGAGGTCTAGAGAGGGATCATGGCATTCCCTTCTGTTGTAGCTCTGTTGTGCATTTCGTAGTTTATTCAACTTCGAAGAAGGCTCGCCGGGCCGCCGCACCAGTCTCTGTCAAATTTTCTGTCAGTCTGTCAGAGATCAAGTGTTTTTCCCTATAGTGGAAGCCGGATTGGGGGAGCTTTTTGGCAAGTTGCCTAACGCAATACCGAGAGGACTGTTTGCCGTTTCGGGTTTGAAAGTATAATCAGGGTATATGACCCGTGCGGTCAACTATCATGGCTGCTGCTTCAAGTCCTTTCGTAATAGTTCAGTACATTAACGGCCTTGCCTAGACTTACTCAGATAGCTCTTTCGAATTGTTAGCTGTACACGACAAGGTCTTCAGTAGATTCCTCTGTCTTGCCTAAAAACAATTTCGAAACTCCTCCTGGTCTCTAGGCGGGTTGTTTTAGACCGGAACTGTAGGTTTTTTTAAAAGCCAAAGCATATAAATCTAGATGTATCTCAGACCACGTTAACGGCTCCTGGTCCATGGGCCACTTTTCCAAGTAATTGTTAGCTGATCTCTGGGTACTATTAGCCGCCCAAGAATGCAGACTACCCCTGTCTACAATTTTTTCTCAGCGCTAGCCTGCGAGTACGCTCACTTGTGTGAGTTCTTTTTCACCGAGCTCGCATAAATGAGCCTGCTCGCAGGCTATCTCAATACAAGAACGTGCTACTTTCTTGTTTGAGTACACAGTGTTCTGTATATCTCAAGTTTGCGTCATGTTAGTGCAAATGTCATGCTTCGAGTGACAGATTACCTTTCTTCTTCAAGTTATCTTTTTATTGTGTTTCCATTTCGCAGCAAATTTTCCTCCAATAATATTAGGAGGACCAACTGAGGTCAATATAACTGTCGACGAAACAGCTACTATAACTGTTACAGCTGAGGATCCAAACAACGATTCCTTGACTTTCACTTTGTCTGGGACACTTCCCGCGGGTTATAAGATGACAAGCGATGCGTTGTCAGTAACTTTGACTTGGATGGTCACTTCTAATGAGGTAACGTTTGCTATCTTATTGCAAATCAAGTTTGTTTTCAGCTTTTAATTTTGATAGAGTTGCTACACGTAAGCTCACTCACAAATGAGTGGTAATATACAACTGAGCTTCAAAACTTCACAATCTAAAACAGGAAAACACAATTTAAATTTGGCGGTATTTGTCAGGGACACCAATTGTTTATAAAAAAAACCAAAATATTACATAATTTTGTTGTACCAGTGTAGCTTTTGTTTTCAGACTTGAAAACAATCGCTACACTTGTTAACCACCGTTGTAAAAGTTTTATCAAATTGACCCTGCGAATGTCTGTGGTTTAGTTGCCTCCAAAACTCGTCAATAAGAAAATTTTCTTCAAAGAGGAACCTTAGAGTATCTGAGTAGAGGAAGTTGTCGTTAGTTGTTTCATTATCCCATTCCAAATGTTTTCAAGTGCAACGAATTTAAAAACAAGGTAGTGTACTTTTGACTGCCGCAGAACGCCAACCATTCTTGAACAGCTACTTTTGTTAATTCATTTTGACAGGTACCTAATTGCCTGTTTTTGTTCCTGTTGTTGTTTTGTTGTTTGGTCAGATCGAAATAGACTTTGTTGTGTCGGATGGAACTGCAACCACAGTCCTCAGTCCAGTTATTAACGTTTGCGCATGTCTTAACGGTGGAAGCTGCTTTCAAAATGAGGAAGAAGATAGCGGGGACAGTTGTACCAACGACACAGAAAGATTCAATATTCTCTCGTGTGCGTGTGCGAATGGGTACACCGGATCATTTTGTGATTCAGATCTTGACGCTTGTAAAGAAAATTCCCAGCCGTGTTACCCAGGTGTCACCTGTAACGATTTACCGCCGCCTGCTGGCGACTCTGGATTCCAGTGCGACCCCTGTCCAAGTGGCTACTCAGGAGATGGTATTGATTGCACAGGTAAAGGACAAATTAAAGGAACTGTGTCACGAATTTATCAGAATTTTAACAGTGGGAACTGCCACCAAATTGAGTGGAACTTGAAAATGGCGGCTCAAAACATAAAAAAAAGATATAGATAATTATCACAGCAAATACAAAAGGAGGCACATAAAATATTTTGTTATGTGCTTTCACTGGCTTGATGAAAAACAGTAATTTACTTAGTAACCACGGTTGGCAATATACCATGGTCAAGAGCTTATAAAACACCATGGTCAGACACCACGGTCACACCATCGCCGCCTATGTTCAAACATGGTCGGTAATGAAAAACCCTGGCACCATGGTCAACCTCTTGCCGGGGTTGGACAAACTTCAAAAGGATTGAATCGGATTACAATTGTGAGTTTTGAAAATTGTTAGCCCAACAGTTTTTCAACGTCCATTTTTGTTGTTTTTAAAGATTGATATAATGTATGGAAGACATATTTTGTTTGCTACAGCCCCTCAATCTGGACGGAGCAACTGCTTGATTTCTGTCTTTGGTGGCAGTTCCCACTGCAGTTCCTTTAAACAGTATCAAAGGGTCTCGGCTCCCCGAACGTAAATACATATACCCCTGTATTGATTTGACTGCAATAAAAAAGTTAGCATAGTGGAAATGGCCTTTGGTCTGTGATCTATACTGTTCGATAATGTGTTTGTCGGTTATCCAGTTGAACTGGCTCATTAATAAGGCCCTGCTAGGGTAATAAGGAGCATAAGCAACGACGACGGCGACGGCAATGAGAACGGCAAAAGAGTAACAGGTTTAGACTAGCAAAACAACAACTTTGCACGTGATCACGCTTTTTTGTACATTTCTTTGCCGTCGTTGCACGACTACGACGTGAAAGTGCCTAAATTCACGTTTTGTCGAGGACGGGAACACAAGACAACAAATTTCTTTTTCTTTTCCTGAACTTTAATACAGTCCTCTAGAATTTAACTCCAAAAAATTTGCCAGCATTTGACGAAGTAAACGAGATGGAATAAGAGCAATAAAGTTTGAGACAGCGGGACTTCACTTTTTAAGTGACGTTTTCGTAGCTGTTGCCGTCATTGTTGCTCAAGCTCCCTAATATTTCGACAAGCGACATGGCTTTGTAATAGCGACACAAGACAGATGAAATGGCGACGAACGACACTAAGATGACTTGACATTGTGTCGGGGACAAAAATAAGGTTAATTAGTTAGACACCAGCAGGGAAATGGCTTTCTTCTCAATGTGCGAAACGGCAGGTTTTGAACTTTAGACTGGAGACGTAATTAGCAACCCCCCACCCCGATGCTTTTATATATATAAAAGTCACCCTGAAGAAGATCACTGAATGTGATCGAAATATAGGTGGATTGAAAGGAAACTGTTTTCTGTCTTCATTTGTGATTAAGATATATATATATATATATATATAATTTTTTGTCTACTGGAAATGAACATAACACGGTTTCTATATGAGTTTTCTTTCAGACATTGATGAATGCTCTGTAAGCAATGGTGGATGTCAGCACAATTGCATTAACACCCCCGGGTCGTCAGTCTGTAAGTGTGATGATGGATATTATCTAGATGCAGACAAAAAGTCCTGCCAGGGTAAGAACGCTTTAACCAAAGGCTAGAATGTCTTGCTTGTTTTGTCTTTTTATCTTCTCATTTCTCAATTTGAGAAATTGCCGACTTGAATCTCACGTTTGCCGTAAACGTGACCGTTTCCGAACTTTCGTGAGTTGTAGTTAGAAAGCAGAGAAGCTAAGTGCCTCGCTTTCATCTTGAGAATACACATGATATTAGTGAGATTACGCAAAAGGAAAGCAGAAAGAGCAAGACGTGATCTGTCGTGATCTTCCCTTAACTTCACAACGTTCTGTTCTTTTACAAAAGGATCGATCCGTTTAAAGGAAGGTGAAATTTGGCGGAAACATTTTCACGCTTGTCACACACGATATGCCGTCTACTCCTCTTTCTTCTGCCGTCCGATTTCGTAAGTTCACTATTACCTCGGATGGCAAGAACAACCCCTCACTGGCAGCGGGAGAAATGCAACATTGATCCGTCCTATTCCCACTGGAAGTAAAAAAAGGTGCGGAAGCGTTCAAAAAATGTTATCTTTTTGCTTTTAGATGTGGGTGAGTGTTCTCCGGTCAGTGATTGTATGCATCAATGTGTGAATACCATGGGTGGATATAACTGCGCGTGTGACGCAAATTTTAAGGTGGACCCCGATGATTCTAAGAATTGCATACGTGAGTACTTTTAAAAAAATTTAGCCGTTGAAAGGGACATAGAGTGAGGCCCCCTGGGAAAAAGCAAATTGGTTCGAATTATCGGGAGGTTTCAAAAATCGGTGGTAAAATTACAGTGCTTGATTGATTAGAATTGTTAGTTGGAGGATTAGAGAAATCGATATTTTACTGCACTTTAATCAGCTGGTACTCCTTCAAATATCTAAGGGTGCGTTCCATTGGGGTGATCCTTTACTCAGATCATAGCACATTAAAGGAACCGACGAATCTACCCTGGGAAAGAATTCATCACTTCATTTGATGTACCATGATCCTGGTGATCTTGGATCACTGATCCTGATCCGGATCATCGATCCCCAAAGAAAAATACCTTAATCGTACTAACTGTTCATAAGGATGCCTAAATTGCGTGCAATTCTAAACTGGTTTTGGCTCCATTAAATCCCATGGCAACTGCAGAACATTTTCAGATGAATCGCCCACTGTGAGCACAGTTTTTACCTAGGTAAACAGGGAAGTACAAACTAGATGGTATATTTCCACCACTATTCACCTCCCCTTCGGGGGATAGTTGTATACGCTTACATAATTCTTCTTCCTGTTAGTCAATTAGTACTTTTGCATTTAGAGAAAGTTACCTCAAGGAAAAGAGAATCTTTTTGTTTATTTGTTTTTATTTATTTATTTATTTTTACAGCTGAGAATCCGTGTTCGGGTAACCAGCATGGCTGCGAACACATTTGTTACCAAGCAGGTGGACAGGATCAATGTTCGTGCAATGCGGGTTATGAGTTAAATCAAGATGGAAAGACATGTTCGGGTGAGTTTCTTGAAAGTCGCGATAATTAAAGGGCCCGCAAAGCTGTTCTTACGAAAGTTTTCATTTAAGATCGAGGTTTCAGTAGTTTTGCAGATAGCATGATTTTTACCTCGAAAGGTTACCAGGACATTCGAAAAACGGGCCCCTTAACCGAAGTCGTCAGATGTTGCTAACCGTAGAGGAAAGAAATTAACCGTTAGTCGTCGAAATGCCAAATTTACGTCACTTTGGTACCAGCCTTCCTACTATGTCATACTACGTACTTACCTTTTGCAGATATTGATGAATGCGCCACTGGAAAACATCAGTGCAGTCAAAGTTGCAGTAACACGGTGGGAAGTTATACTTGTTCTTGCGCCGACGGATTTAGGCTTGACAGTGACGGCTTTACCTGCAACGGTACGAAATGACCAGAAATGGAGAGAAAAAAATGGTTATTACAAGTTGCTGTAGCATTAAGTTTTGCTTTTCCTCTTTCACGTGAAGAAGAACGTTCCGTAGCACAAGCGAGCATAGATAGTAGAGGGGACTAGTTACGAAACGCGGCAAACATCAAAAAATAAACAACGGTTCCGCAGTTAATGTTTGTTTTCTGTTGGCAAATTGTGACGGAATAATTTAATGCGCTGCCATTGGTCAGTAAGATCAAACTGATAGGAATGCTATTGAACGTTGTACACCTTCAAGTCCACAAAAAACACATAGGGTCGGTTATTTAAACGAAGTCTAACTTAAACCGCAGTTTAACAAATCTTTAGACCTCCAGGTCTCTTCCGTAGTTGGTTATTGTAAGAAGATAAGTGCTTTTCTGGTCTACTCTATACTCTTTCACAAAACTTTTCACAATAAATGGTGTTTACATAAAACCATTGGGCAAATTGAAAAAGGCCCAGAACGTGGTTTTTGTTAAACGCTGGCTAAACAACGTTTAAATAACTGGCCCATAATATAGGAATCTAACGAGCTTCATAACCATTCTACTCTAATAAGTGACGTCTCAAAATTTCATGTATAAACTGCAAATCACATCTCCCTACACAACAGTCAAGGCCAGATCAAAATTCAGGGCAGATCTATATAAGACCTTTCCTTTTACCAAAATTAAAACTCAGAATCACCCTCGTACAATAGACAGCGCTGATAAAAATTAAAATACGTTCGTCTATTCCTCTAAAAAAAAGTCAGGTGGATCTTGTTTGCATTGATAAATAAGGATGATTAAATCTGGTCCTGCATTTAATCAACTAGATTGGCCAATGCAAACAAGTACGGATCCACAAAACGTTTTAGCCAATCATGCAGCAAAGGAGAACTGTTCGCAGGCGTTTTCGCTGTGCTTGATGACTAAGAACGTGCGTCGAGTGCAAATTGGCCGCTTTTGATTTATTCACATTCTCTGGAACAGATTTAAACGGATCAGAAGCCAGCTGGAAACTGTCCTCGACTTCTGATTGGTTAATGTCTGCATGAAAGAATGTGAGTTAATCAAAGGTGGTCACACTTTTGGGCTTCTTGCAATTGCTGTAAGGAAAATGGATATTAAACACAGTTCGTTAGTGCTTGGCCTTCTGTAAGAGAGTTCCTGACTTCGATTCCCAGGGGGTGTAACCATGAATCCTTAAGTTTTCTTTTGACTTATTTTCTTTTCTGTGTGGCTTAAAGTAGCTTTAAAACGGGGCACTGGAGAGAGATAGGGCGTGGGGGGAAGGATGATCGCACCGTCGGCCTCAGGGTTTTGTTAGTGTAGACAGATAACAGAGCTACAGATGTAAAATAAATACCTCAGTACACTATCTTTCTACCATGTGAAAACGGCTCTGTTCTACTTCTTATCTTTTTAGACATCGATGAATGCATGGAATTTACTTTCCAATGTCAAGATGCTTCCCAGAAGTGCGAAAATCTCTACGGATCTTACAAGTGTGTCTGTGGAGAAGGATTGTACTGGATCGACAACAAATGCCAAGGTTTGTTTTGATTAGTCTCGCAGATGGAAATGACCCCTCGGAGAGAACACATGTACTGGCTATTTCAACTGAAACTGAAAAAACCCTTCTTCACCTTCTGAATAATATGAGGTAAAATAAAACTGGAATCGGTACCAAGTAGTTTGAAAGCGTTGCAAATGTTAAAAGAATTATTTGCTACCGGCTTACTGTAATTCTCCAACGTTTTTGCTTTAAACAAATATTTTTTTTCTCTTTTGGCCTCCGATAATTTTTTATTCTTTGGATTTTACCTGTTGGAATAACTCAAACGCCTTCGTTGCAATTTCTGTTACTGAAATGCTTCGACAAGACAGCAATGATTACCCGTGACTGTAATTTCGACTGCACAGCGCGATTCCACTAGTATAGGTAATAGCATGATTTGTAGTGATATTTGGCATAAATACCACGAGTGATATTTCGAAATTGTTATACGTAATTTCACGAGCCGTTAGGCGAGTGAACTTTGAGACAATTTTGAAATATCCCAAGTGGTATTTATGGCTAATACACCGTATTCACAAATGGCGGACACGCGGGGAAAAACTGGTGCCTAGTCATGAAAGCGAGGCGTTGAGGGTAAACAAAAATTGCGAATGAAGACTTTCAGTGAACTTGCAGTGTTTAGCACGGATTCCACCTAAAATAACTTTGTACGGACTTCTTTTTAAATACAATTACGTGGGATGTCTTCTGCTTCTAATGTTTAGTATTGATTTGCTTTTTGCAATCAAAAGGGACGCGTATATCTTCAAAGAAACAGGATGATTTTGTAGGTTTCCGAAGCATCAGAAGCTCGACAAGTGGAGAAAAGCGGCAAACATGTTGGCCCAAACTTTCTTTTTTTCTTGCCACAATATCTGTTTTTACTTCTGTTTTACAGAATTGCAGTGAGCTGGCTTTCGTATTCGGTTTCAACGCGAAGTTTGGGCCAACATGTTTGCCGCTTTTCTGCAGCCATCACCCACTTGACGAGCTTCTGAGGCTTCGGCAACCTACAAAATCATCCTGTTTCCTTGAAGATATACGCGTCCCTTTTGATTGCAAACAGCAAATCAGTCCTAAACATTAAAAGCAGAAGACGTCCCACGTCATTGTTTTTAAAAAGACGTCCATACAAAGTTATTTTAGGTGGAATCCGTGCTAAACACTCTGCAAGTTCACTGAAAGTCTTCATTCGCAATTTTTGTTTACCCTCCAACGCCTCGCTTTCATGACTAGGCACCAGTTTTTTCCCGCGTGTCCGCCATTTGTGAATACGGTGTATATCACGGGCAAATCATGCTATTATTTGTTTATACTACTACCCACAAAAGGTTCGTAATTTTCACATGTAGGTATTTCAAATTAAGCTGAAATACCACTGCTCTAAGCCAATCAAATTGCAGAAATTTCTCATGTAGTAGTATAACAAATAGAATTTCGTTGTGTATCCTCTATTCATGCTACAGTTTGGGTATCGGCAGGTGGCCACTTAATGGAGGTTAACTGCTCCATAGACTATTGTCATAATCTTTAGCAAAAACATCGCTTCATTTTGAAAGAAACACGCGAAAGCAGCGGTATTACGGGTCTACAATCAGTCGTAACCTTCTATCTCGGGGTGTGTTTTCCTTCGTTATGAAACCACAAACCAAGTGTATCAAGCACTTGATGGCCGCTTAATAGAGGTGAACCCAATAAGAGAACTTTCGTCGGGATAGCCAAGGGGTGGCCGCAGCGCCTTAAAAGAGGTTTCATTTACAATTATTTTCTAACATCATTTCGGGACTTTGATTACAATTTATAACCTCTTAACAGAGGGTGGCCGATTAATGGGGCTTCAACCGTAATTGTAATGTAGCAGTGTTATAATACCTGTCTCCTTATCAAAGGGCTGGATAAAGGCCAGGCTCCCCCACCCCCTGCCACTGCTTCACCACCAAGAACACCATCCGATGAAGAAAAAGCTGAATCAGTCAACTTGGACATCAAAGGATTCAACGTCTCTGAAGTGAGTATTTCAGCATGCGGTTTTTATGATATTTGGCGCGTGTTCAATTAACCGTATTCCGTATACCAGCATGGAATAGACCCTAAAACTCCTTTCTCTTGGCTTTAAAAAAAAAGGTAAAAGCGCATTCGAGCCAAAGGCCCAAACGGCCGGAGCTTATCCCGGTTTCCTTAGCATGAAGCGCCTTACCAAGGAACGTCAATACTCCCCCCTGGACTGATGCTAGTCCATCGCAGGGTTACCCTCCAGCAGTATGTCGCCGTTACCTATTATCTATTGGCTTTTGCTGCATGTTTAATTCCAGAAATCATGTGGACATTAAAAATTAAAATAAATATAGAATTCCGATGGTCCAAAAATTTGCGGTCGAGGAGATTTGTCACCGGTTTTTGAGTATTCTTATTCCGGAATACAACCAATGGAATACACCCTTACCTTGCAATCGCTTCGTTTACTCGACCGCCTTCTTCTGAGTTCCTCACCACCTTATCTTCACTGTTTGTATACTTCACATGATTTGCGAAGAAAGAATCAGAAACAAGAGACACGAAAATATCATGTTCCAAGCGTTGGAGTAGACCACACTATGAGCTTTATAAGCGCCGTTGTCGCTGAGTGACTTTGCCATATGTTTTGCACCCTTTAAAGTTTAATGTTTCTGAAATTTTCTTGTACTGAACGGATTATCTAATTTCTTCTATTGCAGTGGAATAAACCAATGGAAGACGCGTTCAAACAGTCTGTTGCTGAGGCAGCTACAGGTTACTGTTTAAAGGGTAGCAACTGTCAGTCCAATGAAAACAGGTAAATATCAAAACACCAATTGCCTTGGAGTTTTCTTTTGGATTGAAGAGTTATTCACTGACCGAACAATTGATTGACTGGTTAGTCGATTGATTTATTGATTGACAGCTCGATGGATTAGCTTGTTGCATGACTGACTGGCTGGCTCGCTGGCCGACGGGCAGGTTCGAAAGCTGGCTCACTGACTGACCGACTGAGACCTGACTGAATAACTCACTGATTGGCTAACTTTCTTGCTGACTAACTTTATTGATTGACTGACTAATTGTTTTATTGGGTGACAGATTAGCTCAGCTTGTTGACTGACTGACTGACTGACTTACTGTCTGATTAACTGCAGTGACTGACTATACTTGTCTTACTGACTAACTCACTGTCTTACTGACTTAGTGACTGACTGACTTACTGACTATAACTGACTGTCATGTTTTTCTGACTAAATGTCTCACTTAATATGACTGACTCACTTCCTGACAGATTGCTTAAAGGATTGATTGATCTATTGATTGGTTAATAACAGATTCCAAGAAACCTGAAAGTTAAATCGCACTTTTCTTTAAGCTCTCGACGCAAACGCAGATCAGCAGGAAGCCTGGTCTTTACAGAGAACCAAGTACACGTGTTGCCTGGTTACCCAAAACAGATTTCATTCAGTCCACTCCTGGCGAATATTTCATTTTACATACAATCTCCAGCTGGATCATCCTTTAGCGTTATGCCGAAAGCTGCCGTGGTTTCCATTGTTCAAAATTCCGTGGCAAGCATTTCAAGCGCCCTCAATGCCAACGTATCAGGTGTACAAATTCTTTATGAAGACACAACGACAGCGACATCTCCGCCAGTTACGACCCCTGTTCAGGTGGTGCCTACAGAGAAGGAAAACAATTCCAAATTAAAATACATCATTGCCGGAGGTGTTGTTGGTGGCGTCCTACTCATTATTATCATACTCTTAATCGTAGTTTGTTGGTGCAAACAGAAACAGAGGTAAGGTTTTTGCATTATTTTTAGATCCCAGAGCGGGGAGAGGTGGTACTGAACAAGGTTATATACCGTTTCTACCATTATAAACCATTTTTGAAAGAAAAGGTACTCCTTTCGTATACCTTCTGTCACTTGACAAATGGTACCTCTTTCACATACCTAGTTTAGAACTTTGCATCCCTTTTAACAAACTGCTGTAAAAGGCACTGTCTTTTAAATATGTCAAAATCATAAACCCTTTTGGGCCTTTTTGCTGAACCCTCTAACATACTTTAACTAGTGAAATCCGTACCCTTTCAAATAACTAAAGCCTAAATAAGAAATTCATTCCGGTCGGAGCCTCCCCTTATAAGCCACTATAGAGAGTACCCTCCCCCCGGCTCTAGATCCATTCAATCCTCAATCTGCATCGTTATAACAACTAGCTTGCGTAACATAGGGGCAGAAAAGAACAGTATTACTTGCAAGCGCGCGCCCCGTTCTTTCTTACGCCCATATTTCTATCAAGTGCTTACCACGCAGGCTAAATCTTGACATACAGTAAGTTCGGATACTCCCTTTCGTGTATTTTTTTTAACCCCTGCATACGCGCCATAAGTCGACCTCACAAGTTTCTTACCAGAAAATTTGTAAAACAAGCAGAGCAAGCGGCAAAGAATATGTTAGGTCAGAGGATCTACAGTACCTCCCATGAATGAGAGTAAACTGACTACCTATGTTACTGTTTACAACAACGAACGGTTTGAGGAAACGATCTTACCCCAGCCTCCCGGGGGGGGGGGGGGTACTTTAGGAATTTTCGGGTGGGGATGTACCCTTGGGACTCCGGAACCCTTAGCCTATACCAGAGCTGCCTAGTTCAGCTGAATTTTGCTACGCTATACCAGGAGCCGATTACTCCTGGCTATACTAAACTAAACTCCCCAATTCCCTCCTATCCCAGAGTAGCTTTTGGGCTGAGTTGGGTAAATTTAAACTTGTGGATTTGATTTTTGATACTTTTGAGTGGGGAATCTTTGTTTCCCTAATCTAGACTAAAATCTTCAACCAATTGATCAGTTTCCTGGAACATGATACCCTATTCTAGACCCAAACTATCTGATTTATATACCCTATCCTAGAGTAAACTGCTTGTAACCATACACTCCACAGCGGCAAATACCTTAGTATATGGCCCATATATGGCAGTACCCACCCCCCGGGACCTCAGCCATGTATTAGTTAAAGATGAAAATTTGTTTTTTATCATGACCGGTATATGAATATTGTCATTAGAGTTTTCATACCTACCTTACTTACGGTCGTGAAAAATCCAATCGAACCACGTAAATCGATGTTGTTCACGTTCAAACCTATCTTCCTATCTTACTCAAGGTCGTGAAACATCCAATCGGACCACGTTAATCGATACTTCCTTTTAACCTAGTGTTCATCTAATCGCCTTTTCCTTTGGCAGGAATCACCCTAAAAAGGTCGACAGTGAGTTGTCAATCGACAGGAAAGTAAGGAGTCGGCCGGAAAACTTGCAAATGGACGTCTCTCATGCAGCCAGCAATGAAGCGTTCGAAAATGATACGTACATGTAAGTAACATCTTTGCTGACTTGTGAGGGAATCCAGATTCCGAAATCCTTGAAAATTTTGTTAGCAGAATCCGGAATCCTTTTTTGAGTGCCTTATTGTCTTCCGTGAACAGGGGATTACCATAAACGACATTGCCCCTAGTAGTAGTAGTATGTTTATCAATTTACGATAATTTTTGCAATAGATGATTATCTGCAAAACTGACCTCTAAATAATAGTGCTTTTGTTTTGTTCTTTATTACAGGATGTCTTTGAAAAATCGTTTGGATACTGGATCGCCGGGAGAGGCAAACTAACGATCTCGACAAAGAACTGACATGTACATTGTAAATACGCGATCACTAGAAGAAATATTATTTTTGTGAAGCACCAACTTTCTCAAGGGAAACCCTAGTTAAAGTGTGTTAATCACAGCATATTTTTTTATAACAGCCCAGATAACAAGTGCACACACACCCTGCGATTAAAAAATAAGGCCTGGTTCAGACGCCGTACTTTTCACGTGCCGAACTGAATAAGTTCGACTTTGGAGCGACACTGGCGCGACATCTGATTCAGACGGCGCACCGTGTGTGGAGCTTAAGAGTGGTTGTCAGAGAAAACCGGGCAAAATGTTAAAAATGTCAACGGAAGGGGGTCAACAGAATAAGTTCATACTAACATCATAGATAGGTCTGGTGGAGTAATGGACAAATATACCAAACATAGGTTCTTCACTGCTCTTGTATTTGAGAAACGAGCATCACTTTATTCGACCCCCTCGGACGCCATTTTTATAAGCAAATTTTCATCATTTTCTGAAACTCACAGAACCCTCAAAATTTAACGAACGAAGTTTATTTTTTGTATGCGATACAACACATCACAGAGCTACTTTCTGAAACCATAAGAGTTGTTAAGTAGCCACGGACAAGACTAAAATTTCTTATTTTATCTGACCTAAACTCAGTGTCTGCAAACCAGCAAAAAATCGGGCATTTTTGAAATGATCTACAGCGCACAACTAAAACGACAGAACAACTCTGACAGCCACATTGCAGTCTACTATCATCCATGTAACTAAAACACTAATAATCATTTTGGGCCATTGAAACAGGAAGAAATTACAAAACTCACATTTGTTACAGTTTCCAAGCGTTTTCTTGCAAACAGGCCGATCCCTTCGTGTTTCTTTTAAGTCCTCATTGTGAATTTTCTTTCGTATTTCGCTGTAAAGTGTGTTCAGCAGCTGGAGGACATATAAAAAAGCTCTAAATACTGCCTAGGTTACATTTTGAAAGGGCAAAAAGTGCTGAACGAGAGGATGAAACTAGAAAATAACAAAGCGACGCCATCTTGAAAATTCAGCACTCAGGAGGGACTGGCACTAGTAGGTGCCTTGTCCATTACCAAATAGATAAAAAACAAAAACAAACAAACAAACCGGCTTATCAGCGACCTACTACAGCCCTATTTCTTCTTCAGTTACTACTTTTAGTTAAATTTAGCCTCTTTTGTGTTGTCGTTTTTTTTGGGCGGAGTGATGGGGTGTGGTGAACAGGTGACCAATTGCTATTACTTTATTCAGTCTTCATTTGCTCTTCATTCACTTCACTTTGAATTATCCCGTATAAGTCTTATCATTTCTTCGGACTTTTTATTGTATCATATATTATTGCGTCAGTCTTCAATCACCGTCCATGTCCGAAGGTCCACTCATCTCCTGTTCATGATTTCATGATGTACTTTTCATAATCCGGTCAAGGCTTCGCCCGAAGGGTGCCTCTTTCAAGCATCATGATCAGGTGTAACAAAGGCTTGAAAAATCACAAGTTGAAGTATGGGAAAGGAGAGGAAAATCTTTCATTAAGTATTTTAAAGGGCCTTCTATTATTAAAAATGCTTCGAAGAAAAACGGCAATATCATTTACATGTTAGTTCAGTTAAAGGTCACGCGAAAATGACGAGAAGACCACCTTTCTTACCGATTTATTCCCAAGAAGCACATATATGAAAAGGGTACAACTTTTCAATGGAATATACACGAAAGGGGTACCTTTTGTCAAAAATAGTATATATAAGGGTAAGGGACTGGACCTCGGGGCGAAGCCTCTCCCAGCAGAAGCTGCGTTCGATATAACATACGGACAAAAATTGCAAATTTTTCACGACTCTGTTGTCTCGCAATTCCCAAAAGAGACTTGAGCACATAGAAAACCAAACCTAATATAGAAATGTAGCCAGGAAGCCTCGGATTCATGTTAGAATTTTTTCTTTATCGAACATGGGCTTTTACGAACTATTACCAGGAGCCTAAGGGCTCCTGTAATTACCAATAAGATAAAAAAACAAAAAACAAACAAACCAGCTTATCAGAGATCTATTTTTTCTCTCTTTATGAATCACTTAACTTCGCTCTCATGCGAGCTAGCTAGAATTGCTATATATCAACCTCGCGAGTTTCTTAGCGTCCGGGCTAACTGCGGGCAGTGGATATTGCTTGCTGTAAAATTTGCAATTATTTTTATTACCAACTGTTTATTAAAATAAACTGTTGAAAATAAACAGTTGAATCAGCGTGCGAAGCGGACATTTTAGGCCGCAAAGCGGCCAAGAGAGCCAGCGGAAGAAGTACTTTTTTGAAAGTAAGCCTTCTAACTGATGATCTCATCCCTGTCACTTCGCATTTCCTTAAGCCCCATCCCTGGAAAAGGTATCCACTTACGGTCTACTATACCCCGATTTATATACATGGCTCCTGGTAGAGTATAAAAACGTAATTTTGTGCAATTTCGCAGCTTAATTAGCGTTGCTAGATAACTCTGTCCGCCATCAGAAGCCCGTAAACCACAATTAAAACCAAAAAATGTGAGTAAAGACTACACATCAATATTAATATTAATCTTCGAAAAATTCTAGTATGACCCATTAAAATTGTTGAATGACCTTCTTCACCTTAGACACTCGTGTCAGTCAAGTATGAATCGACGTCCGCCGTTTTCGATTTTGTTAAAAAAAAAACCTCTGACCTAGCAGCCTGGCTGCATCTTGCGCCCATCATCTGCCCCCAAGGGGTGAGGATCTGGCTCCTTTTTCATAGGAAATTCATAAATTGTCTACTAAAACACCGTGCAATATGAAAGCAAGGCCAATTAAAGGGCTAAAAGCTGCTCCAGTATCTCAGAATTGGAAGAAAACTAGCAAGAGAAATTGCTCAGAAATTATGCAAAAAGTTGCTTGAAACGACAAACGTTGCTCGAAAAACTAGAAGTCGCCGAAACGTTGCCGAGCGACTTGTGGAAAGCCCTAGGGAGAAGGAGGGCGGGGAGGCGGGTGGGAGGCTATACTCAATAAAAATTTGCTGGGAGAGGCTTCGCCCCGAGGTCCAGTCCCTTACCCTTATATATACTATTTTTGACAAAAGGTACCCCTTTCGTGTATATTC